GCTAAGAGATTTGTCAATCAAGCTGTATGTTCAATCAGGCCACAAAGGTAATGGACGTGGAAAGCTCCCCTGGCATAAAGAAAGAAATCAAATGGAGATTCTTGCCTGCAAGCGGTATCTGATCACTAGACAGGATTGGGACAGGAAAATCCGGTGCTGTTCAATGTCTCCTTCGTCTTCCATATGAGCATGACGTAGCTTGTAGTTTGGCTTCAGTTATCCCGGTGCTCAGTCTTTGATATGCCCGGTGAATACCGGCCAGATAGAAGTGGTCCAGGCGGAGAGTTTCAATTGAGAGCCCATTCAACAGAAACAGCGTTGAAGGAAACCGAATGCCCGTTCTAATATCTGATTATCCAGATCCCCATAACGACGCGGAGCTTATCTTCCAGAAACAGAGACATCACAAACCCAAGCCCTAGATTACTGGCAAAGCTCCATCAGAGCCCGCCCAACGCAGGAACGACAGAAGAATAATGAAAAAAAAAAACCCCCTTCAATCAGAATTAAAATACCATAACAGGACCCATGTCCCCATTAGCTATATAAGAACATCTGAATACCAGAATCTCTGCTCCCCCATCCCCCGACCCCCCCCAGCCATCGTTTCAAAAGCCAACATCATCACCACCCCAAGAACGAATCGTCCTGACCTAAAACTCATACGATGTTCCCGCCCTTCTTCGATTTCACCCGCCTACCCACGGGCCAAGAATCCTGGGCCCTCCACGCCCTCCTCGCCGAGCAGCTCCGCGCGACGCCGGCCCGGGGCGTGCCCCAACCCCCACCCCTGCCCCACGAATTCCAGCACTACGAGAACATTCCCGCCTTCGTGGTCGTGCGCCTCGGCGGCGAGATCTACGACCACTTCTCCCCACTCCCCTGGGAGCAGTGGACGATGAACCTGATCTTCCGGGTGCTGCGCGACCGCGACCGCGCCCCGCGGAGCATGCCCTTTTACGGCGTCGTGCACGCCCACCACTGGGTCCGCTTCTACCGCGAGACGACGACGGCAGGCCGAAACACCACGGCGGCTTCGCACGCGGCTTCGCACACGGTCCACCCTGTGGCTGTCAACCAGGTGTACACGCTACATCGGTATGGGGATGAGCAGCTGATTGCGGAGTTTGTGGATGCGGTGCGCCAACGTCGTCGAGGTCGAGGTCGGGATCGGGGTCGCGGGGCGGTGGTGGTGCGTGCGTTTGATGGGGTTCCGGCTCCCCAGGTCAGGAAGATTCCCTTTCATATGGATCAGGTTGAGTGGGTGACGGGGGAGGGCGATGATGAGGTGGTGGTGGTGCTGAAGGAGGAGGACGCGCAGGGGGAGGAAGATACTGAGTCTGAGTCTGATATTGATGAGGAAAACGTGAGTGAATGGCGTTTGCCTTCGCCCTTGCTTGGGACTGAGGTGGCCATGTCGGAGTCTCTGTCTAGTTCGATTGACGGGGGCTTGTGTACTTCTGCCGAGACCACCCCGTTTAGCGACGACGACGACGACGACGACGACGACGACGATGACGATTCTTCGTGAACCCTGGGGCTTTCTGAGGAGCCGCCGGTCTTCAAGCGAGAATCTCCCTGGTAAGTCGCTTCCCTGCTTTCCTTTCTTTTTGTAGCACTGGAATATGGCGCTGTTGACCAACGCATCGAACAAAAACAAAAACAACTTTAGATTGAATAGGAAGAAAAGCTCTTGTGGAGCTTGAGTTCCGGAAATATCAGGTACACTTTTCTTTTCTTTTCTTTTTTTTTTTTTTTCCCGTATTTGTAGAATGGTTAGGTATGCGCCTGAGTATGTTGGCTAATGCGTCTCTAGAAAACAGCGGCAGTAAAAGCATTTCAAGTGCGAGGAGCAGCTCTGGCGCAGGCAAACATGCCACTATGGCCCGCTACGGGCTGCAAGCAATTGAGTTTCTGCTCTACCATTCCTACGACACCTATGCATAACCTCACTACCCCGAAGTAAGCACAGAAGGATGGACACGCAGCTGACTTTATACTCATATTATCTTTCAGTATCTCAGGCTCAATGGTCTTCAATCAAGCCAAGGCACGACGAAATCTACAAGTAAAGTCATGAGAGCATTTACTCTGGATGGGGGACGATGGAGCATAAGGTAAACTATGCCTAGTAACCCTAGATCTTACGTAGAACTCACCCAACAGCACACAGGCAACCTGATTTCCGCTGTACTACTTCATACTACATAATTAATACATCCCACAGCAAAGGTGCTCTGCATACAGAAGCAATTGGCTTGGCGCTAGGACCATGGAGGAATCCGATGACTCTTGAAGAAGAGAGCTTACACGCTTCATCTTGCCATCTAATCTACTGTACAGTACAGCTATACATGAGGGAAAACTGCTTGTTTCAGAACATAATACACATTTTATAGAATATTTTCAGGAAACATCCTCGATGGTCTAACGGTCATGATTTCCGCTTGTCAATCCCAGTCGGGAACAAGCGCGGGAGACCTGGGTTCGACTCCCAGTCGGGGAGATCTCTTTTTGCTTCTGCCAACGCATCATGGATACACTGCCGAAGTTCCTTGATGTCTTTTTGATCGCCTATCGGGTCGCCCCTCAGTGCATTACACGAGGAAGTAAGCAATTCTGATTCACAAGAGATACACTTATTAAGAGCTGGGACCTATGATAGGTATCCAAAAGCAAGCTATAACTAACACACACGCACATTCCACCAGGGCAGAGAGAGGACAACCACCAATGTTCGTTACAGGAAAAATAGAACTAAACGTGCACCTCGCACCGCTGACCAAGCGAATCAAGCCACAAGAGCGCGAAACTTTCTAAAGGTGGGACAGAAAAGTAGCAAAGCAAAGAGTTGAAGACATTGGGAAAGTTCGAGGGGCGAGACGGAAGATCGTTCGAGGTATCAACAAAGACGGATTTGGGACTATTTGTCGGTCTTTTCGTTCACGGCTTCCTTTACCTGGGTTTTCTTCGCCTGTAGCAGGGAGCTGAGGTAGGCCAATGACTCTTGCGACAGCACAAGGGTGGTGCTGATGATGGCCTTGCTTCCAGCGACAACACCATCGCCTCCGCATTTCTTGTACTCCGAGTTCAGCGTGTCAACCACGTGGGCCTTCATGTCCCCGGCGAAGCGCAAGGGGAAGGTAGCTCCGTCTCGGAGGGATTCCTTCAGCTTGTCGGTGTCCTCCCGAACAATGGGGAAGGTTTCGTCGACTTTGGTCAAGCCTTGGTCGCCGAGCGAGTCCACGCGAGCAACGTACGGGGAAATATAGACGTAGGGCTTGGAGAAGTAAGGAAGAAGTGGCTTGGCCAGGCGGTTGTACCCTTGATCGGCAAACTCCAGGGTCTTTGCGCCATACTTGTTTGTTCTAAAGACGGTGATTGAATCTGCAACCACCGGATACGATGCCAAGTGCTAATTGGATTGCGTGATCAGTTTAGGCATGCCGAGAGGGAGGGACGGATGTAGATAGATATGCTTGGAGGTCAAAACTTACATCGATGAAGTGGGAATGAACTTTCTCTCCATTAACCGAGTTCTCACCCATTGTTCCGTTTTCCGCGTGAGGCATGGAGGTCTACGCTCGAGACGGGGGAACATTAGTACCGTATAGTATATGGGGTAATGGTGTATGTGTAGGTATGACAACTTGGTATAGCATAACATACCTGGTGATGGGGTGTGTAAGTAATCAAGGCGATTACTACACAATGTTAAAAATGATGTGGAAGTGGGAATACAGTTAAACTCCGGAAGAGGAATTCGAGCGCAGGGGGAATAAAAGGAAAGGTTCTGGAGGGGAGGGGAGGGAAAGGAAGGAGGGGGAGATTTAGGAATTTGGAAGGAGGGAGGGAGGAGGTGAATTTCCGAGGGAGGGTACTACCTTAAAGTAAATCAGAAGGAGAAGAAGAAGCAGAAGTAGTAGTAGTATCAAAGACAGCAATCAACCTGCCCTGCTAAGGAAGATGCAGTCGGATTGATCCTTCAAGACAAGATGAACCGCAGGGAACTTAATTGTTAAAAGGTAACTCAGACAGACATCTCGGCTTGATCAAAGGTACCACATGCTATCAAGAATAGTTAGAATTTAGTGTAATTTGACCTAATTCCCTAATTCCTCAATTCCCTACAGAGATTACGCAGTACAGCAATAATAAATCGAGGGTTATTATTATTGTTGTAATTATCATTTTATTTTCTTTTTTCCCTCCTACTCGAGTACAGTACATCGGAGCAGTTAACAGCATGTGATAGCGGAGCCGGATTAAGTAAACGACCAACTGGTTTTAATCGTTCATGGAGGGGCATCCAGTGACTGGCTAACTGAAAATTGTCCACTTAGTCAAGTAGTACGGAAGGGGTGGTGCTCGTGCTAGCAAAATTTTTCGTCATAGGTTACCTTTCCACCATCAATCAATCACTCCTTCCAAGGTCTGGAACCCGGAACGATGCTTGATGGCAAAGGAAGTTTCGACCAAGGTTTAACCCCTCTTTTTGCTTTCATGTCTACTCCGGACAGGAAAGGCAAACCGTAATGCAGGTGAAGTCTCAGCACAGAAAACAAAAAGTAAAAAAGGGAGAAAGAGAGAGAGAGAAAAGAGCAAAGAGGGGAAAAAAAAAGAGAGGACGACGAGGTGGAGTCGACGCCATACCCAGCCCTCATGAAAGCCACCCGCATTTCTACTTGGAACTCGCAATGGGAGCCGCCGCCCTGATAAGAACTGTTACAGTTGCGTTGTCAATGTGGCAACCTTGTGGTTTCAGCAGGCTACTTCGATGAAGCACTTAGAGATCCATTGGGTGGTCTGCACAGTAAGATAACGTTGGCAACCGAAAGTCTCGCGTTCTCGACGGTGGTCGTGATGGAATTCATCGATGGGGTGATGATTTGATAGCATGTGATTGTGGGTCTTCCCATCTCGCGGCTTTTCTTGCCAACCACAGACTTACTTTCATCACCCCCATCCATCCATCTTCCCACAGTAGTACATCCTACACACCATGTTTCCCGGATTATGCTAAGCACCTCAATCTCATCTGCCTCATGAGATTTGAACCAGGACATCTGCACTTTTGTTCCCCATGTCTCTTGCATGTGCAGTCGACACCAGAACTTTCTTCCTAGGCAAACTGCCTGGATCCGGCCCCTCTTTAGCGCCTTTCCTTATCAGAAGAGGGCGGCTACTGTCACAAGCAGGGAAACCGACCGCCAACTGGATACATATCAAACCACATAGACACGATCCGCTAATGGTGGTGTATGGAGCACTTGACTTACTTGCCGACCGATATTGATCCATAATCTCTCCAATTTGCGGACAACCTTCTCCGCTGAATTACCCACATTGAGTTAAGTCACGTCAGTCAGTACAGTATTTCTCGCTGCGCCTGGACCCGAGGCTTGGATGGCGTTACCCAAGATTCCATCCGACTCCCTGCATGGTTGAGTGAAGGTCCTGCCCTTAGGACTGCACTCTCCTACAGTAGTTAGGTGCGCTTGGTGGTCTAGGCGTTATGGCGCCGAGCGTACTGGACTCCATGCCATGCATTAGATTCTCACCCGTCTCGAAAACGTCCAATTTAGTGCTTATTGGAGCTATGTCCCTCACTCCATCTCTCTTGTGTTGTCTTCGCGCCGCCTACCCGACGTTCTGGGCTACGATGGCGAAACTGTAGAGTTTGACCATCTCATCACTGACTTGCTGATAGGTCTAACCCGTCCAACCACCCAGTCTGGTTTGACATGTTCGCTCCGTGCTATTTTGGGCGTCAGAAAATACCCATTCTGCACCCCTCTATGCAGCTTTCACGGAACGCTCACGCTTTTCCCGCAAGCCCGGGAGGCGGATGTTGTAAGATCCTGCATCTTCTGGATTTACAAATACCGCAGGTAGTCCGCAGAAGTTCAGGTCCCGCCTATCCGAATTTGAGCATTGAGTTCGTGGGGGCACAGCGGGGAACAACCGACAACTCCAAATCCGCGATTCAATCTTTACAGGAATCTGTCACTGACCCTCGTACTTTCGTAAGGATCTAGACAAGAGATCCGAGAAAGCGGTAGCGATTGTACCTTAACATGGTTTCAAAGTCCACCCCAAAGCATCGCGTAGAGGGGGTGAGTATTACGTCTTTCTACTATTTCCAAGGCCATACCTACCCCCTTATGCGCAAAATCAACATTGATTGCCGGCTGTACATCTACTGCGCAGGCCGCATGTAAGACGAGCTAGACGCCCATTAAAATCGCCGATGGCCAACGGTAATGGCCTTTGGTCTCGGAAGAGCGTCATGGTCTGGGATTGGGGAGGGACGGGGTTTACACAAACAGTTACTGTGGTCGATCGTGGGGGTGAATCCGTGTTAGCAGCTCCGCTTTTACCCCAACATTGATCTCTACGAACTGGGATTGGATTCAGCCTGGAGATTGTCGATTGCCTGGACTCTCGAGGTGAGGGCGGGGCACGGGACGGCAAAGGGAAAAGCCGAGTACAGTCTAGGCCCGACGAGTCCCAAGCAACCTCAATCCGATTGAATTATTCGTGGCTGTACGGTGAAAACTTGTAATGCTGTCATGAGCAAGAAGCAGAAGGCAAGGATCGATTGGCATCAGAAAGGAACGGTAGAATCGAGTTAAGAGTCGGCACAAATCTGGTGACTTCGGGTCAATGTCGTCCGACGCGGTGTAATTGGGGGAGTTCTGTGATGGCAGCTGGATCGGGTCAATGGCCAAGGAACCAAAGGCGATACCATAGGCTGGAGAACAACTCGTAACAAAAAAAAAGAAATTGAATTTGTTCATATTTTCCATTTCATTTCGAGACGGACGCCAGATCTGAGTGGCTTCCCTCATGTAAATAAGAAAATGGGCCAAGTCCTGGACCTGTACATCGACGCGTTCCCATTCTTCCTCCAGCTATGGTATATTGCACGTTATCCCTAGCTCATGAACTGGACGTCTTCGATGCTTTTCTTTTTCCCTTTGCCTCATCTAAGACCTTGCGCGCTCAAACGACAAAACGCCCCAATTATCCCGTTTAGAAACCTGTAGAACCGTCAGCGATGCCACCACAAACAGCCACGAGCGTTGGTAGACAGGGCGTGCAACGTACGCAGAGGAGTGAAGAACCAACGGTTCTTGCCGCTGGTGTAGCGGTCCTCGAGGGCCTTCTTGACGTTCTTCTTGGCGTCCTCACGCTGGGAGACCTCCTTGAAGGTGTCGTTGGAGACGGCACCCTTGAGACCCTCGAGCTCGAGAGTGTAACGGGTGGGCATCAAGTGGTTGTAGTTGACGACCTTGATGAAGGGCTTGATGCGGCTGCGCTTCTCGACGGTCTTCTTACCCATGCGGCGGGTGACCTTGAGGGGGTAGCGCTCGATACCGGCGACGATGGCGTAAGGGAAGGGGTGCGCCTTGGAGCCAGTGTCGTTAGGCTGGACAATGACGACCTGTCAAATCGCAAAAAGAGACCCTCGTCAGCATATATCCAGTGACTCCCAGCCGACCAAATATTCCTCGTTCTCGATGTCGCAGTTGTCGCCCTCGTCCGATCGTTCGACCCTTTGCATCCATGCAGTCTTCCCACTGAATTCCCATCTCTTTCAATTCTCCGTTGTCGCAGACGAGAAATTTTCCACACCGGTTCCGTTGTCCTCCGTATATATGGGTATTCCAGCGCCAGAAAATCAAGTAGATTGTTGTCGTACCTTCTTACCGGCGTAACGGCCACGGGTGATGATGGCCACACGGCCCACTTTCATGACTATCGTAACATTCTGTCAGTTTTTCGATCGAAGACGCGATAACAAAATCGAGATGATGCGGCGATTCACTAACACTTCATTGTGAAGGTCCCGGTGAGCGGCAGGTCGATGGGGTGGTTGTCGAGATGCTTCGGTCGAGTGAGTGAGGTTCTCCGCGTTCGACGGTCTATTTTTTTTGAGTGAAGAGGGCTCAGGGCTTTGTGTGCCCGCACTCCATTGGCCACCTTACCGACTGATGGCTACTAGGCTGTTCTGGGTAAGCGCTCCCAGAGTAGCTTAGCGTCCGAGACAGTTGGTTGCCGGAGCCGGCCTCAGGCGGCAACTTTCGATCCTTCAATGCGATTGCGTCAGGCTGTCAGGCCGTCAGAGCAAACACAACAAACGTCACTCACCGCCTCCATTCTCGAATCCCCAGCCACCGCCAAAAGGCTTGGCCCATTGTTTACGGGACAACCAGCCAGGGCATCGGTTGCTATGAGGCTGTTCTTGATGTGTACGCCGCACATTGGACCGAACGGCGGTTGATGCCCCATGAGCTACCAACTACTCCCAGCCTTCAACTCCACTTCCATGGTCCAACTGCCCGCTATATTAACTGATCACCTCGGGAGTTTTATCCTTCCCCCCCCCCCAGTTTTGCCAATTTGGCTAGTTTTGCCAGTTTCGCCAGTTTCGCCAGTTTCGCATCGTGTCCGCGTTCGTCGCATTGCAGTTGTTGACGTTGTTGCTGTTGTTCCTTGCCGCCGTTGTTTCCCCAGTCCTCCCCGCCCTCGTGCCCTTTCATTGTAGCAAGCGCATTTGTCTTCAGTCCCCATTTTCCTATTTTCCTGTCGTTCCTGCTTTCGTGATACCTGCTTTTTTGTGCGCTTCCTATCCAGACACAATTGCCCATTTGCTCTTTCTTGCGCGATTTGACGACCTGCTATGCCTTCACGACCTTGACTTGCGGCGCATTTTTCATGATCATAGCCCCTTCTCGCACATTGCGGATATCCATCCATCGATCCACTTTCCGCTCAGACATCGACAGACACACACGCCACCTGCTCCACCCCTCTCAGGAACAAGTGAAATTGAAAGCTCATCATGCCCTCACACAGTCGTGAGAATTCTCATGACCGAGAACTGGTGCTGAGACATCAGTCCGTACCCATGTACGTGCCAACCCAGTGCCCTGAAGTGGGGGTCCCTGAAGATCCTCAAGTTTCATCTCATAAAGCGATGGATGACTGACCTTGGATTCGTGGAAACGAAGGTGGGACAGTTCGGATCCCGAACGGGCACCCCCTCCGCTACCCATGAACCCCAGTTCTACCAGCCCTGTGACCAGATCGAATGTCTCCCCAGGCATTCAAGCCGCAGCGGCCAACTTCGCAGAAAAGATCCGCGAAAATGCTCCTAGTCCATACACGACGAATCCCATGCCACCTAAATCACCAGAGAAGTCCCTCATCAAAGGCCAATTTCATAAGCGTATGCGATCATTTCAAAATAACACAGATGCTCGGTCCGAGTTCCTCAATTACCTGGAGAACAGGTCGCCAGAGCGGCCCCAACGGGCGTCAACCTTCGAGCCAGGATCCAAGTCACTGGAGAAGTCGGCTTTGAATAAGACTCCCAGCTCGCCCGATTCCAGAGAACCTGACCGAGACATGCCTAACCTTCTCATTTCCAACCGGTATCTCTCCAGACCGATCCTTGGAGAGAGTACTCCACCGTCAGCAACCATGCTAGCACTGCAGAACATGCAATTACCTCTGGAGAGTGATCCACCACAGAGGCTCATCGAGTCGGACCCATTTGTGGGGCCCAAGCGCCCTGATCCCTATTCCTTCGAGTCCTTGTCCACTCAGATTCACAGTCTCACGGATATCGCCAGCAATCTTCAGCGCGAGATGGCTCAGTTGAGCCGACGCAGTAAAGACAATGCCACCGATCTAGTGAGTCTCAAGGCCGCGACCAACGCCCGAGATGAAGACATACGAAAAAGCCTCCGTGATCTGTCATCTAGCTTGGCTTCGAAGTTCCTTGATTCTGAGGCTGCCACAAGGTGGGATTTCAGTTCTCTACTGGGTTCTGAGAATGGTATTAACAACAGGGAACCGGATAGTTCTCCAAACTCGAAAAAGAGCTACGCGGGACCGCGAATGTCTAGTCCTAATCCTTTCGCCGCAGCGATGGAACGCGAATTGTGCGGATCACCTACACCAATATCCGATGGGTCTGCAAGCATCGCATTGCTGGAGAAAGTCCTGCGAGAAATGGCAACGAAAGAGAACCAGGACAAACTTTTGGAAGTCGCAGAAGAGATCAAAGCTAGGCCCATACCGGAGGCATCCGGTAACCCGACGGATGGCGCTGTAACGACTATGCTGGAGGAGATTCTGAATCTCGTCAAGGACGATGCCCAAAGCAAGGCTTTGGTTCGCTCTCACGCCCGCGAGCTCGACGATGACGACCAGGCAAACATCCAAAACAGCCTGGCCCGTTCAAAATCCATGGGCGCAGAAGACATGAATGCCAATCCAGAGCGCGCTCTTGTTCCCGTGGAAGACCACCGCACGGAGGAGATGCTTGCTTTAATGAAGATCGTAAAGAACAGTGTCATTGAAGGGGGTGGCATGACAAACCAAGTGAAAGCCCTAGTACGAGAATTGCGTGGAGAGGTTCTAGGAATGGGTAGAAACTTAGCCCGCCAGATTGAAGAAGCCGAATCCTCTCGAGCTATTGAAGACAAACCTAGCGGCCTTCAGAAGGAGGAGGTTGCTGCGATCATTGAAGATGGCCTGCACGACCTCAGAGGACAGCTAGCATCGATCATCGAAGACAACAAGCTCCACGCCTCATCGCTCTCTGACTTCCGAGCTAACGTGAACGATGAACAAATCTACTCCATCGTCAAGCAAGCTCTGGACGAGCTAGACTTCTCGCAACTACGGCCCGAGCCTCAAGGGCCCGTATTGGAACGGGACGATATCCTCGAGACAGTGAGAGAAGCATGGGAATCGTACAAGCCCGAAATCGAACTGCAAAACTTTGGCTTGGAGCGAGACGAAATCCTTGAGTGCCTCTCAGAGGGCCTGAAGGATTACAAGCCGCAGCACGAAGAGGCCGTTACCTACGACCAGGTGCTCACAGCTGTTCAAGCTGGTATGCAGAGCTTCGAGCAACCGCCAAGCATCACGAAAGAGGAGATCGTACAAACGATTCATGATTGCCTTGCAAACTTTGAGCTTCCGGCTCCTCCAGCCCTCGGACCTGAGCACCTTGATGGGATTCGCGAAGAGATACTGCAGGCAGTTACCGAATCTGTTACGTCTCAGAGTGCCTTGACTAGAGAGTCTCTTGACTCAGGGCTCGGCCGCGATGAAATCTTAAGTGCCTTGTCAGAGGCCCTAGAGGCGCACTTCGCTTCAATCAAGGCTACAGAGCACCTCCAAATTACCAAAGAAGATGTGGCTGAGGTGTTTAATGAAGCATTTGCTGCCCAACAATCTGCCCTCAGCACTAGCGTTCAGCCGAGTATCTCACGCGACGAGATTCTCAGTGCCATTGCAGAAGGGATGGAAAGCCAGAATGCCGTCACTCGTGAAATAGAACTCAATCGAGACGACCTAATGGATGCTATCTCCGCTGGCTTACAAGAAGCGAACGCTGCAAACCAGAATTCTGGCGATCAGATGCTCGAACAACTTCAAGAGCACCTCGATGGCATGAAAGAGGAACTAAGCCACCACCTTTCAACGAACGAGAAAGACAGCGAGCAACTGCTAAATGCCATCAAAGATGGTATTGCTGTTGTGCGACAGGAGGTGGAAGGATACGCTGCAACTGCAGCGGAGTCGTCTGCGAAGCACGAGATCATGGACACAGTCAAAGAAGGCTTCCGACTGTTGCAGGCTGACATGGAGAAGACCATAACAGAAACTGCTCTGTCAAACAGTTCTCGCGGCAATCCCGATACTCCCGAGCTTCTTGATGCCATGGAGAAGGAGTTTGAACACCTCCGACAGACCATAAGCAATCTTCTTATTCGTAGCAACGTGTCCACCGAGAAGGATGAGATCCTAGATGCCATTCGTGACATTTCTGACCAGCAGAAGTCGTCGAGCAATGATGAAATCACCAAAATAATCAAGGAGCAGATTGAAGAGCTTCGTGACACCATGAATATGAGCCTTGTTCGCGCCGAACCGATCGAGACAGCAGAGCCCACCGAAAAGTATAGCGACAAAGAGGATATTATTGCTGCGCTGCGTGAGTGTCTCGACACTTTCCGCGAGGAGAATAATCAGCCCAAGGATGCGGGTGAAAATCTGCTTGCGGCCACTAGCGAAATTATTGATACAGTCAACAACGGTTTTGGTACAATCAAAGAAGATCTCGCAAAACTCTTGGAGAAGCCGGTGGAGTTTGATCATTCCGAGCTTCTAGACACTCTGAAGGAGGGCCTCAGCAGCCTCAAAGCGGACGTTGAGATGCTGCGCCAGTCTCATACGGAGAGTCATGTAGAGAATGACGAGCCAGAAACAACTCGCGGCGGGGAATTGATGCTAGCAAACGCCCCAAGCGAGCCCGCCAATCCCGCTATGAATAACGACTTTGAGGCATTGAAAACCTTGATTTCACAACTTCAGACTAAGGTTGAGGCTATTGAAGGTGCCCCTAGAAGCAGCGAGCTTCCTGAAGACATTGTCAAGAAGGAGCATCTGGATGAAGTCCTTCTTGGTCTGCACGAGCTTCAGAGCGCTGTAACAGGAATCGTTGCTCGTGACCAACCTGCGGACGAGATGACGGCCAAGAAGGAAGACACGGACGCTATAGAGACATTGCTCCGCAACACCAAGTCTCAGCTAGATGAGATGAAGTTTCCGGCCGCAGATGAGATTGCCAAGGCAGAGCAACTGCAAAGCTTGGAAGCGATCGTCGCAGAGACGAAAGAAGCCATTTCCGAGCTTTCCACGCGCATTGAATCAGAAGGCCCGACAAAAGCCGAGATTGGGACGCTTGAAACGCTCATGAAGGACATGTGGATTGCCCTTGATGAGCTGAAGGGCAAAGCAGAGCCCGAAGATGATAACGCCGAGAAATTGGTCAAGGCAGACTTGCAGACTGTTGAGGCCATGATCTTCGAGGTCAAGACCCAGGTGGAGGAACTCAAGCTGCCAGACGTCGAGACATTGCCGACCAAGACGGAAATCCAAGATCTAACCGCACTGGTCACAGAATTCCGCGAAAAGGTCGATGCCGATAATGAGATGACTGGGCAGGCTTTTGACGCACGGAAAGTGGAACATGCAGGTCTCGCAGAGAAGATTGAAGAGGCCAGGGCCGTCGTCGAGGGCCTCGGTGACGAGCTCAAGAGCAAGTTGGATGGCAGTGACCAAGGGCTTGCTGAGCTCAGGCAATTACTCGAAGGTCTTGCAGTGTCCGCAGAAAGCTTCACCACCGTTGAGAATGTGAACGAACTCACCGAGCTCATCAACCGGGAGTTTGAGCGCGCGCGGGGTGAGCAGGACGCAACCAAGCTGGAGAAAGAAGAGCGAGACGCTGCTGCCATGGTCAAGCAGGACGAGACTCGAGCAGCCATCATTGTCGAGCTGGGCTCGAAAATCGACGAGAAGCTCGGGGAGGTCATGGCGAAGTACGACGAGGTCCATGCCGCCATGGACACTGCTCTGGATTCTAAGTTCTCTGAGGCCGCAGATCGTGACAATGCACATCTTGAGGCAGTCACGAGCACAAAGGCTCTGGCAGAAGATATCAAGCTCGTGATCGGGTCCATGGGCAACAGCGTCACTGAAGCTTGCGAGCGCATGACTGTCGACGCCCAAACGTTCTTCGAGAAGGTCGACGAGTCTTACAACAAGATGGAGGAGATGCACAATCAAGTGAAGACGCAGCAGGAGCAAGCTCGATCAGACCTCGAGAAAGCTGCTGCTGCCACTGATCGCGTGGAAAGCCAACTGCATGAATTCCACCCACAAGTGCTTGAATCCATTCAGCAAATCCTCGCGATCGTCGGGCAGCACTACGACCATTCGCAAAAATCTGCGCAAGAGATCCGAATGGACCTTTCTACGATCCCTTCCACCATCACCCCGCTGCTCCCAGCCCTACCGCCGCCGGAGCCTGAGAAATACGACGACACTCCTGTCCAAGAGAAGCTCAACAATCTCCTTGAACACGCCAAGAATAATCAGGTTCAAGAAACACTGGGCACCTTGATGGAACGGGTTACCAATGACCAAGTCCATGAGAAGCTGGATCAGCTTCTGAGTCAAACTACAGATACCAATGGTCAGGTCTACGAAAAGCTAGAAGAGCTTCTAGATCATGCTACCAACGCCAATGCGCCGGTCCATGATAAGTTGGACACTCTGATCGACCATGCCAACAACACCGACCAATCCGTGAATCAGATGATGAAGCTTGACGAGATGCACAAGGATATCATGGAGACCTCTCAAAGAATGAACGAGATGTTCGCAGCCCAATCCGCCATGATCGCGGAGGACAATGAGCGACGGCGAAAGGAGGCTGAAGAGGCAGCGATCGCTCTTGAAAGACGGAATGCACAGCGGGAGCAAGTGGAAGCCGAGATTGAAACGCTCCGTGAGGAGAAGGACTCTCTCCTAAACATCATCCACAGCCTCAAGTCCGAGAAGGATAACCTTCTCAAACAGACCACGAAACTGAACAAGGAAGTCGCTGGTTTGGAGATGGCTCTCGAGCTTCGTCATGAGGAGATGCAGCTCATGGAGGACCGCGCGGACAGCCTGGAGAAGCGGATCTTGGAAGGTGTTCTGGACCATGCTCGCAGCGTCCTTCTCAGTCGGCCCAACAGTCTGAACATGAAAAAGGCGCGTGGATCACGAGCCCGAGGCCCCAATGTGGCAAGTACCGCCAGTACTGCTAAAGATGTCCGCAGCTTTCTCGGCAGCAGCGTTGGAATGGCGTTGAAGAAGCGCGGCCCGGCTGGATCGCGGGCCGGATCCGGGGCGCCTCCCACCAACAGCAAGGAAAGACGCATTCTCAGTCTCAGCAACGTGACTGGGAATCGAGGCGCTGGGGATCGACATGTCAGCGCGAGCAGTGGGTTAACGGGCCTCAAACGTAGCCATTCGGTCAAATCCAATTTCTCCCAACGAAAAGCCTCTTGGGGCGGCAAGAGCTCCGTCGCTAACAAGGAGAATGAAGTATTCCCAGAAGAGGATGAGAACCAGAGCGAGGACGAGAGCGATGCAGGGACCGAGCGAAGAACCAGCTACACAGGGACCTATGCGGACAGCATGGTATATGGACCCGGCAGCGTGGTCTCCGGCGCCGATCGACGGATAAGCGCCACTAGCTCAGTCGGCCCACGGTCCGTAGCGGACGATCACGATGAGGGGGAGAGTGAGGCATCGGGAGTTGAAGATGATGCTCAAACGACGAGGGCAGATGACCCCGAGGAGTCTGAGGTGGGAGAAGAGGAATTTGAGGATGAGGATGAGGAGTACGATCACCCGCTCAAGTTGGACGAGCAATCTTCGAAGTTGGTGGTTTATGGGCAGCACAGTGACAGCGGTATTGGACCCGAGGTCACAAGTGTTGCGGCATGAAGTCCCGTGGAATGACCTTTGTCTTTTCATTTTCTTTTGTACCCTGTTTGACCCCGAGGATTCACGTCGCGTGATGTTGATTCTTCATGAGCATATACTACCGCCACTATTACTCATTTACCCCCATTCCAGCGTTTGGTTGAGCTGCATGCTTTTGTTTGAAGAGACCCGAGCTTTTTTAGAGGAGATTGAAGGATGAGATGATGGTGATGATGCTGGAACGGTTTCCTTTGTACTCTGTACTTTGTACTTTGCTTTCTTTTGTGATGAAGTATGATACGTGATAGTCCCTCAGTTGATCCTGCTTTGAAGCACATTCAGTAAACAAATGGGTGAAAGAAAGGCATGAATCGCAGATCACATGCTTACTGTGTATGCGATCTGACTGCTGAGTCAGCCCCTCCTTCCCCCAACAGAACCAGAATCGGGCCCAAAACAACAGTATTTCATCTTGCATGCATTGACCGGAATTTGCTGCAATAACCATGTACGGTCCAGTCCAGTCCTGAGCATGACCCCTGATGCGAAAACTCTCCCGTGTCCACCACCACCATCCATCCTTTGGAGACTTAAATATGGCTCAAGCCTTCTTCCTTGCTTCTAGTTGAAGTCTAGTCTAGACCGACTAGTCCATTAACTGCTACTAATTTAGTCTCCGTCTCCACCTCCGTCTTCCTGCCTTCTTCCCCTCTCCATCTCTTGTCTTGACTCTCTCGGTCTCCTCTTCCTGTTCTTCTCTTTCACACTACTACACTACTACACTATTGACATAGCCCCTCCCTTGTCAAGCCCGGGGAGTGGTCAACAGCCGGAATGTTGGACCCATTTCCCCCGCCGCCAGAATGGCTGCGTGAAGCTGTTGGGCCCTGGGCTCTCTACCTGAACGTGCCCGCTGTGACCGAACATGCCCACGAGATCATCTTGTCCTTCACCGGCTACCTCTTCATTCACTACATCCTCTCCCCCTGTCTCTCTCCGTTGCTTTTCCCCCGCCATTACCCCAACCTGAGCCCGCGGACCAAGCTCAACTGGGATGTCCATGTCGTGTCTCTGGTGCAGAGCACCTTCATCAACGCCATGGCCCTATGGGCTATGTGGGTGGACGAAGAGCGATCCTCCATGAACGCCGCCGAGCGGGTCTACGGCTACACAGGAGTCTGTGGATTGGTCTCCGCCTGCGCTGCTGGGTACTTTGTCTATGATTTGATCGTCAGTGCCGTCTACATCAAGATGTTTGGTATCGGCATGCTGTTTCACGCCATTAGTGCCCTGTGGGTGTTCAGCTTCGGATTCGTACGTGCATTTTCTTTGTCCTCCTGAAAGCTTTGAACCTCTCCAGACTAATCGTTCACTTTCTGGCTGCAGAGACCCTTCGTAAACTACTACTCTTCGGTCTTCATCCTCTACGAACTCTCCAGCCCTTTCCTCAACATCCACTGGTTCCTGGACAAGGTCAACATGACCGGTAGCAAGCTCCAGTGGTACAACGGCATGCTGCTCCTCTTCACCTTCTTCAGCTGTCGCCTTGTCTGGGGTACCTGGCGATCCGTGGACGTCTACAAGGACATGTGGTACGCCCTGAAACAAACCTGGGATGCTACCGACGTGGCCACCGCGCTCAACCAGTCCGTCGATATCACGGCCCAGGTGTTCCGAACCCACGACGGCTCTCTCAGCGCTGGTCTGGATGGAGCCCGTGCTCAAGCCCAGCTTGAGCTCTCCAAGTATGCCAGATACACCGCCACCGGTACCCCAACCTGGTTGGTTGTGACCTACGTGATCTCGAACGTGGTCCTCAACTCTCTCAACTACTTCTGGTTCTCCAAGATGGTCGAGACCGTCCTCAAGCGATTCCGCGGACCCGCCGCTGGCGAGAAGGAGAAGGGTTCCAAGGGAGCAGTGACGGACTCCACCAAGGCCGAGAAGCTCAAGCACCTGAAGGAGGACATTGCTCAGAAGGTTGTCTTGGAAGCTGCTTCGAAGCTGGAGCAGGAGGAAGGCAGCCCTTTCTTGGAGGATGTGTCCGAGGAGAAGCTTGCTTCCGCCGTGGATATGGGTCTCGCAGAGGAATTGAGAAAGAGGAAGGCTCATGTGGCCGCCGCATAGAGTATTTCCCGCTCCGTCCTCCCCATTAGGGGCTTATATCACGTCCCATTTTCGACCTTAGGTGTGAGATCTCCAACTTGCCCTTATTCTACAACAAACGAGACGATACGAAGAGAACCCCTTGCCCCCCCCCCAAAATTAAACCCACTCTTAGAAAGGGAATCATTTACATTTTTAGTTTCATTCTCCCCCGGGCTCTTACAGTTCCAAATCATCGCGTTTTTGACTCTGTTCGCGGTCGCATTGCTTGCTTATTAATCCCATGCTCTTGATGTCTTTCCCACTCGAATGATTGAGCGAAGTGTCCTGTTCCCTGTATTAGATTTCTTTGTCCCATGCTGTGATCCGAGTTCATGCAGAACGGGATGGTACGGTGTTATGAGGTCTGTCTTTCCGATTGCTTTTTTACCCCACGGGCTTAGAAGATTCATGCCGTATTACGTGACTCAAACGCAGAGGTTATATCTTCATCATTGTCTTCGCATCCCAATTGGTGCAAGTCTTTACATCCCTAAGATAAAGCACTAGAGCACCGTATCCACGTGTTACCGCACACTTTATTCAGAGGTTCCTCTACGGACTGTGAACGGTTGCTTGAAGTAGGTGTTACACATAGCGAAAAAAACAACCCGGGAGAAACAAAACATGGAAGACGTGTTTTCCGTTGACATTAGATAAACGGCCAAAGGAAAAGTAATAGAAAAAAAGTAACCGACTTTAAAGCATCCCAGATGAGAAAAGTCCAAACACCACGTAAGCGCCACTCCTCCGCTCCCTTCCCCTTTAAATCAGACAGTTAGATAAGATCAGAGAAGCTTTGATTCTTGGCCGGATGTGGGTCCGCAAGTAGAGATGGGAAAGATGGACGATGTCATAGACAGGAACCCTATTCGATAGATGGGTTGGGTGGTTAGCTGATCGTGTAAGAAGACACAAGATCGTCTGAGGGAAAGGCAAAAGAGACCAATTCAAGAAATCAGGAATGTACGTGAGTAAAGAATCGTGTTTTGACAGCATGCACAACTTTTTTGTGTGTCTGAGTGAGCTGGGTAAACGAGGTATTCATCATAGAAAAGGTGGGTGTGGCCTTGGGAAGCAAAAAGAGGATGAGTAAATCATACATACCAATCTTTCTCCATTTGAAAAGGAAATTTACACAAATCCCCATAGAGGGTAGGAATAAAAGGGCGTTTAGAGAGCCCTCCCCATGGCCGCCTCGGGTCTGGCAAGCATGTAGCGCACCGCTTCCCTCGCGACCGGGGTGTCCCACGCCCCATCGGTGCCGCCTCGCCGGAACTCCGGCCCGCTGGCGTCCTCGCCGCCGCCTCTCGTGGCCTCGCCGAGGATGGTCTCGAGGTCCCTCCGCTGGCTGTTAACCCAGCGGCGGAGGAAGGTGGCAGGGTCTTTGCTCAGGGCCGTGAAGAAGGAGTGGCGGGCGCGCGAGTGCGTCAAGGCCTGCACGATGAGCGCGACCTGGTCGTCCAGCGTGGAGATGTGGCGCATGGCGGCGGTGTACTGCGGGTTCTGGGTGAGGGCGAGCATCTTGGACCGCAGGGGGTCCTCCAGGGCGACTTGGATGTCGTAGACGGTGGGGGTGGGGTCGTTGTGGTAGTCGGCGTCGACGCGGATGGTGTAGGGGAGTTTGATGGGGTCGATCGGGCTCGTGTGCGGGCCAATGCTTTCGGGAATCTGGGGGAAGAACATCTGGTCCCGACCGAAGATCTGGATGGGAAGGATGGTTTAGTATAGGAAGCTGATGGCTTGGGGAAGAGGTAGGGTCGTGCTGGGCCTGAACATGAAAGGAGAGAGGCAACATACCGATCGTAGACGGTGGTCACAGCGTACCAGCCGCTTCTCTTCATCCTCCTGTAGTCCCATGGCGCGGATGTAATCCCATATGCCGAGAACAATCCCACTGCGAGTCTCTTCCTCCACGTCCAGAACCTCCGCCAGCTCCTTGCTCAGCTTGTATCGCTCTGGCGTCTCGTCACGCACCATACTGACTGTGACGTTGAGGTTCTCCTGCGACGCGCGGGAGAACTGAATGGAATCGAAGTCTGCGGTGGGAGGAAGCGTAACGGCATTGGGGGGTAATTGCGGCTTGTTCCAGGTGATAGGCTTGACATCCTCCGGGTTGGTGGTGGCCGGTCTGTCGAAATCGATCGTGATGGATTTGAAGAAATGCGAGAAGCGTTGCTGAGACCGCTTATTTGACGATGCGGGCTTCGTCTTGGTCTTCGGAGCCCCAGGGCCATCCTGCTCCATCGCGTCGCCGTTCGCATCGGCGGAATCGTCTGCACTAGCCTGCTCCTCGTCGCTATCCTCCGGAGCCGTCGGGTCGCTATCGTCATCCAGCAGACGCCCCTCGATGCGTACCTTATACCGTCCGGATCCGGGATTGCTGGCACCGTTCTGTCCCGAGGCGTTCTGCCACGGTTGGTTCTCGACCGTGTTGGATATCCAAATGCGCATGGTGCGGTACTTCTTCACGGTCTTGCTGATGGAATCTTGGATGTCGAGTCTCTTGCGCACGATGGCCGCGTCCAGCCGTTTCTCGAGGTCGCGAAGGCTTTTGTATTGCTGAGCACCTTCGCCAATGACTACTTCTTCGATTCCCTCCGGAATGCTCTTGTCCGTGGGCTTGCGACTGCGGCGGAGCGCGGCCTCGCTGGCTGCGTTGGCCGCCATCATATTGCGATGTTGTTGAGGAAGGAGCTGAGGGGGAACGCCGTGTTGACCCATCGGAGCAGCAGGCATTGGTACTAAATAGAGTTAGAATGCATGCCTTATTGGAAGCATTGAGGCAGATTGGGGCTAGAAGGTCAGAAAAGACATGGTAGGACGAACCTTGTGCTTGAGGGCCGCGACGAGGCGTGGCAGGAGATCGTTGGGCGGCCTGCGGTGGGAACCCACGCCCATAGTTGGGAGGGATCGGAGCGTTCATAGCTGGTGGCATCTGCGCTAACAAGTCTACAAGGGAAAGGCTGGAATGAAGCCTAATGAGGGGAGGGAAATTGCTGACGCGAAAGCCCTGCGATGATGGAAGGTGAAGGCGCGCGGACGAGATGAAGTGGATGTTCTGTTCTGGGCGGATAGACAGAGGAAGTTGGAGATTTGGAGAGTCAGTCGCGATTCTTTCGCCGCGGTCACGCTTTACCCCTTTCGGACGCTTCCCTGCAACAGCCATCACCACCTCAACTACTCACTCAACTACAAACAACCTACACGACGAATAATAACTGCCTTGTCATCAGGCATTTGTAGTACTATATCATTGCTCGAACATAAGTCAGTAAGCCTCTACCTGAATCTACTCCAGCAGCGATGCTTGATTAGTGTACAGCTCCTCCACCACATTGCTCAGCTTGGCAATGGTCTCTAGAGCAGCATCATATGCCTGATCACGCTCCGTCTCGTCGAAGACAATCAGACATCCGGCTCCTTGATCTAACACTCCGATGATAACCTTGTCCAAGATCATCTGTGAAAGCTTCCTCTCCACCTGCTGCGTGTCCAGTCCTACCATCTTGGCAATGTGGTCGAGCTCAACTCGGCTGAAGGGTTCGATGACCTTGATGAGATTCTGTTCCAGCATGGCATCGTACAATCTGCGAAGGTGGTTGCGGATGAACGCATCACTACCCAACTCAAATCTGTAGTCCGACAAAGCCTTCTCGTACTGCTCGAGGGACCGGTCCGCGTGAGCACGTGCCACAGCCTTCATGGCCTCCAATCGCGGGCTAGCATACTTCTGAGCCTGCTTGGATCCCAGCAGGTTCGTGACATCATCCACCAGGTTCAACATGATCTTGCACAGCAACATGTATTGAAGAGCAGCCGTTGCCTTCTCGCCCTCGTCGAGAGAGCTGTAACCCTCCAGCGCCTCGATGAAGTACGAGAACGATGTGTTGAAGTCCTTATCCTCTGCATGGAGCATACCGCTCTGCATGTCCAGGCCGGCTTGCAGGTTGGGAGGAGTGTAGACAGAGGCGGCAGATGTACGGGCAGCCGTCAAGGCAGCACGTGCCTTGGCCTGGTTGCCCAATGCATGATAGACGCGCGACTCCAGCAACTGTACTTCGACCAGCATAAGCTTGTCGTCCAAGCGCTTCAGCTCGCGGAGGAGAGAGTTAATGAGAGTGAGAGCATCGTAGTAGGTCTGTTTCTGCATGTAAATGGCCACCAGCCGGGTTTCAAGGTTCTGGCGAAGGAATGATCTCCGCTCTGCGACGGCCCAGTCGATACAGGACTTGATGACGGCAACTTGAATATCGAGGGTGTTCGGGATCTCGCTGAACAGGTCCAGCAGCTGGCGGACTATTAAGATGAACAACATTTGTCAGCTCTTTGTGTAAGCATATTCAATCCGAAGATTTTATCTTACCCAGCTTGGCTGTCTTTGCCTTGGCGAATGAAGAGAAGGAATCACGGCTTGTCTTGATCAGTTCGGCAATCTCCTGCGGCTTCTTTTGGTCCCGGTAGACCTCTCCCAGCGAGACCAGTGCATTTTCATAATCCCGCGACGAGGCCTCGGTCGAACCGGGACCTTTGGTGAGAATCTCCTTGAGGGTGCTCTCAGCTTTGGCAGGGTCGTTCTTCGCAAGATTCCGGGCTTCCTCTATCCGCCCAGCAGTTGTCGAAGAGGGCGCCATGGCTGGAGACGGTGCTGTGATAGGCGGAAAAGGCGAAGGTCGGGTATAGTAGTGACAAGATAGAGCCAATGAGCAGGGATCTATCAGCGCAATGTTTGAGGAGGCTAAGAAAGCCGATGGGAGATGAGATGAGGAGGGTATAGGTATAGTGGACGATGGAGGACAGGAAGCTTACAGGTTTGGCTATCGTCACTCACAGGCCGAGCTGCAAGCTGCCGCTCTCACCGCCCGCGGCTTGGCAAGCCAACCACAATCGGCCTTACCCGCCCGCCGATGGAAAAAAGATTCCCAGAAATTTTTATGTCCGACTTGAATTTCTCTTTTTCACGTTTCGGTCCCAAGGAATTTCTGAGAGCACCATGGTGAGTATACCTGTGTTAGAATGCCAAATTGTAATCGGACGGTAACTAATATATGCCCTACAGAAAATCAAAGCTCTTTCTCGTCCCACTTCCTCTCAGCAGGCCCCGGGAACCGCTGTCGTTCGACAGCCTCGAAATCTCGACCCAGCACAGCATCCTTTTGAGCGCGCCCGAGAATACACTCGCGCTCTGAATGCTACAAAGCTAGAGCGTCTGTTTGCTGCGCCCTTCTTGGGCCAACTGGGCGACGGTCATGTGGACGGTGTGTACACATTGGCCAAGGATCCAGGCTCTCTGGAACGGTTCGCCAGTGGCAGCGGTGATGGTGTGATCAAGGTCTGGGATTTGACTACGCAGGGAGAAGTCTGGGAGACTCAGGCGCACGACAACATCGTCAAGGGCGTATGCTGGACCCCCGACCGGAAGCTTCTCTCTTGCGCCAGCGACAAGACCGTCAAACTCTTCGACCCATACAACTCCTCCTCCGAGGCTCCCCCACTAGCCACCTATCTTGGGCAGGGTGCCTTCACCTCCGTCACACATCACCGTGATCTCCCCCACTTTGCCGCCGCGTCGTCCCAAATCTCGATCTACGATCTCTCTCGCCCCTCCTCCACGCCGTCTCAAACCCTTCACTGGCCTACGAACGTTGACACGATCACCTCGGTTGCCTTTAACCAGACAGAAACCTCCATTCTCGGCTCGACCGGTATCGATCGCTCTATTATCATGTACGACCTTCGCACCTCATCGCCCCTCACGAAGATGACTCTCCGCCTGGCGTCGAACGCGATTTCTTGGAACCCGATGGAAGCGTTCAACTTTGCCGTGGCGAATGAGGACCACAACGTCTACCTGTTCGACATGAGGAAGATGGACCGCGCCTTGAACGTGCTCAAGGATCACGTTGCTGCTGTGATGGATGTGGATTTCAGCCCGACTGGTCAGGAGCTGGTCACGGCCTCCTACGACAAGACGGTGCGCTTGTGGAACCGGGCTACGGGCCACTCTCGCGACATCTACCACACACAGCGCATGCAACGGTACGTCAACGCCCCATGTCTTGACTCTTTTGACTCTTTTCACTAACAGCGTCGTGCAGTGTCTTCTCTGCCAAGTTCACCCCCGACAACAAGTACATCCTGTCCGGCTCCGACGACGGAAACGTCCGCCTGTGGCGCGCCAATGCTTCCGATCGCAGTGGCATTAAGAGTGCCCGTCATCGAACCAAGCTCGAGTACGACCAAGCTTTAATCCAGAGATACCAGCACATGCCCGAGATCAAGAGAATCAGGCGCCAGCGCCACGTCCCCAAGCCGATCAAGAAGGCTCGCGAGATCAAGAGAGAGGAACTGAACGCGATCAAGAGACGCGAGGAGAACGTCCGCAAGCACACCAAGAAGGAGAATCTGAAGAAGCGACAGAGCGAGCGCGAGAAGATGATCCTAGCCCGGGAGCAGTAGGTCGGGCTCCATCATATATCTTGCGCTTTCCCTTAGGTCATTGCTCGCCTTGGGAATTTGTCCGGGCAGTCTTACGCTCTACGTTCTCGCCTGAGTGGAAGAATCTGTCTTGATTATATACACCGCGTGGCTGGTTCCACACCCTTGAAATATTCATCCATGACTGCCCGATCCCCCCGCCCTATCATTTTACATCAGTCTTTGTCTACGGAAAGCGGCTCGCGTTGCTGTGGTTGTTCAGTCAGCGGCGCAGTGGTGGCTGACGGTTTCGTCTGGGACAAGGAGGCTTGCGCGACGGCGCTGTCGATCCCACTCATATACCGCGCCAACCGTTGCAGACCTGCCGGCATCACGGCATACCAGTTGGCAAGCATCGCAAAGGTGGGTAGTCGGATCACAGCGCCTCTCCCGCTGTCGATCGCGGACACGATCTCCTGGGCGACGTGGACCGGCTCGAGGACGGGCGCGAAGAAGCGGTTGGGCGTCTGGACCGATTGGAAAAGCGGCGTGGAGATTTGCCCGGGCTCCACGAGGATCATCTTCACCTTGCCATCGTCCCCGGACGCGCGGAGCTCCGCTTCCAGCGTGCGATGCACGGCGCTCAGCCCGGCTTTACTGGCCGAGTAGTCCGCCAGCCCCGCCGCGCACAGCTGGCCCAGAACCGAACTGACGGTGACGATGGTCCCGCCCGTAGCGGCGGACAGCATCCGCGGGAGGAAGACCTGGTAGGCATGGAAGGCCGCGAGCAGGTTGGTCCGGATGGTTTTCTGGAACGCTTCCGCGGGGAGATCTCGGAGCGATTGACCGTTGATGCGAGCGGCCGCACAATGAACCAGTATTGTGGGTGTCCCCAGCTAGGAAATAGCAAAAAAAAGAAGAATAAACATGTCAGCAAACCCCAAAACCATGATCACCCTCGTAGAGCATGTAGCCCAACACCTATCCACCCATGCATTTCACCCCGTAGGAAAAAGGGAGAAAAAACATACCTCCACCTCCACCCTCCGCGCCGTCTCCTCCAACGCCCCGCGATCCCCAACATCACACCGAAAATACTCCACGCCCTCCATCTCCTCCAGCCCCTCCACCTCCTCCTCCCTCTTCACATCCAACACCGCCACACTCACCCCCCGCAGCCCATAGATCCTCGCAATCAACAACCCCAACCCGCTCGCCCCGCCCGTGACCACAACCACCTCCTCGCTCAGATCCACGCGCCGGGGTTCCCCGTACGCGAACCGGTCGTTCCCGCTCCGCACGATATTCAAAAGCGAAAGGAGTCCCGCGTACCCCGTGGCGACGAGGAACGCCGGCGCGGTGTAGGGCGTGGCCTGGGCGCGGAGGCAGAGGACGAGGATCCAGGCGATGAAGGGGTGGAAGAGGGTGCGCGAGAGGACGGTGAGGAGGAGGTCGAGGGTTATTGCTTGTTGAGCTGGTGGTTGGTGTTGAGCGGACGGGGGAGGGAGCGTCGGGTTCGGGGGCGGGGTCGTGAGGATACGCTGTGGTTGTGGTGGTTGTGGTGGTTGTGGTTTGGGGTTGGGGTCGGACATTGTTGGTTTCTTATCGTTTTCTTTTCAGGGGGGTGGTTGCGGTGTTGATCTGGGGAGATGGGTTGAGTTGCTGCAGAGCTGGGGAAAGGGTTTGGGAGGAATTATTATTGTTAGCGCGGCGTGTTCATGTTCGATTGCTGAGATGATGGATGGAAGCGCCGAGGGCTGGGGTTGGGTTGCTTGATTGGTGGGTTAGCTTTGTGGACATTACTTGGTTCTTGGGGGTAGGGATATAGTAGCTGTATGGAGGTACCTTGAGGTTCAGCTGAGCAGCTTTTGTCCGCTGAATGTGGCTGCGACGCGCGCAATTGTAGTCGTGAGAAAATGTAGCAAGCCCCGAGGATGAAGGTGGGAGGAGAGAACTGCTGGGCTGCACCTGCAATCGGCGAAATTCAATGGATGGACGGACGATCAGCTGGTGGGGCTGCTGTACTTGGTTCGTGGACTGTTTGGCAGTCGGAAGCTGAGTGTGTACTCAGTATGAGATAACATCTTATCTGCAGAACAACATCGAGACTTTATCAGACAACTGACTTGTCTTAAAGTGTGAACGTGGAATTCTATAACCGAGGTAGTTTACACAGCCATCCTGCGACTTGCCGCGACAGTCACTCAAGAATATACAATCCGTACATTATACCTATATCCTCACCTACCCAGCTTACACCATGCCACCCCCAACTCTGAAACCGGTGCCAATAATCGAGAACGTCCGTCTATCCGGCTCAGACTCAACCTGGGACATCTCCTTTGACAACGACCAAGGCCTTATCCAATCGATCACCCCGCACAGGGGCGAGTCCGATACCGCAGCTTCCCGCGCACCTCTCGCCCTGCCCGCATTGACGCACCCGCACATCCACCTCGACAAGGCCTACATCCACAACGCACCCGAGTATGCGCATCTCCTCCCCTCCAGTGGCTCGTTCGCCGAAGCGCTATCCTTCACCACCCAAGCCAAGCGACAGTTCACCCGAGCCGATCTCCTGAAGCGTGGAGAATGGCTCCTGGCGGGGGCCGTCACCGCAGGGGTCACGGCGATGCGCGCGTTTGTGGAAGTGGACCAGACGGTCGGGTTCACTTGTCTGGATGCCAGCGCCACTCTCAAGGAGACGTGGAAAAACGCCTGTACGGTCCAGCTAGTGAGCTTCGCACAAGATCCTATATTCTCAGGCGAGCACGGCGAGGAGAACCGACGGCTGATGGAAGAGGCAGTCCGACGGCCGCAGGTGGATGTGATTGGTACAACACCGTATGTGGAATCGACCGTTGAAGCTGCGAAGCGGAACATCGAATGGGCTATTGAACGCGGTCTGGAAAACGACAAGCATGTGGACTTTCACCTGGATTACAACCTCGACCCCGCAACAGAGGTCCTAGTCTGGTTTGTCCTGCGGACACTCCGAGAAAAGGGCTGGTCAGCCCAGTCGACGCCCAAGCGGGTCATGCTAGGGCATTGTACGCGGCTCACCCTGTTCACCCATGACGAGTGGACGAGACTTGCGAAAGAGATCAAGGACCATGATCTCCCCGTTAGCTTCGTTGGGCTGCCCACGAGCGATCTATATATGGCGTCTCCTCCGGGCAGAGGTAGTGCAGATCAACCGCGAGGGACTCTGCCCGTGGTGGACATGATTGACAAGCACAATTTGGACGCAGTGATCGGAATTAATAATGTCGGCAACGCGTTCACGCCATGGGGCTCCGAGGACCCGCTGTCGTTGGCTTGCTTGGGGGTGGGGATCTATCAGGCTGGAACCCAGGCGCATGCTGAACGTCTATATGAATGTGTCTCGATACGCGCTCGTGCAGCAATCGGGTTGTCGCCATATGACACTGGCCTTGAGTTGAAATGTGGCAGCTGTGCGGATATCCTGCTGTTCCACGAAGTCGATGAAACAGGCTGCGGCGCGGCGAGGCCTCGGCATGGTATCGCAGGCATTGTTTGGGACCCACCTGCGAAGATGAGCAGACGTGTGATATCGAGTGGTCGGCTGAATGTTTCTTCGCCTTCCTTCTAATATCCCACATCATGTATCGTGTGCCACACTGAAGGTCCTGCAAGAAGGAATTTGCCTCACTTGAGTAGAAATGAGGTATCTCCAATGTAAAAGTGAAGGCAAGCAAGCACCAACGAAGTCTGACAATCATGAATCGGGCTGCATTGAGTGAAACGCAGGCACTCTATTCCCAAGGTCTTGTTCCCAACTGGAAAGCAAATCTAGTAAATCTATCAGAGAATGTTGCTCGTACACAGAAGGCGGAGGATGAAAAGCCTAATGATAGTAATACACATAGAGGCCATCTTCACGAGCCCCATATTGGCACGTTTTGTTTCATCTGGGCTCGGATTCGAGCAGGCCCATGCAGTGAATAGCTGAACGTTGGACAAGCAGGATCCTCGCTGAGGATATCCAAGTCATCCAGCCCAACAGGTAGCCGGAAGCCGTTGCCTGCGCGTGGATACAGACGATGCTCTTGAAACTCATACTCTGGCTCTTCATCAGAAGACTCTTCATATCTCCTTCGAGAAGATGAAGCAGTCAAGACATCCGGTGCAGATGCGGTTGGTGGTCTAGCTGATTCTTCCGAAGTGGTTGCAGATGCTTCCAGACCGTTTGTCTGCGGAACAGTCCCTTGGACGGAGGTAGAAGTACTTGTCACGGCTGACGAGCCAGGACGAACTGAGAAGTTTGATGACTGGCAGTCCTTCAGATTAGCGGGGAACATTGGCAGGTTTTGATTGCCTTCTGATATGTTCATAAGAAGCTCAACAAGTGTTGCATGCGACAATCCCGATAGAAACCCTCGCCGTTCCTCGACCGAGTAGCTCCCCGCGCTTACTTCAGTTCGAGGCACCGTAAAGGAAGAAGTCGGATGAGGGATTGGCTGTGTTTTCGCAAGGAACGGATTGCTCCTGACAACTGTTGGCTGAACAATGGTAATCGGCACAGGCTTGCATTCTCCACAGAACCATTCTTTCTCTTGGACGGTAACAACCTCTACACTGATGGGAGGATCATGACATAACTGGTGCCAGGCCCCATTGCATTCATCGCAGAATACAATCGCGTTACTCAGAGGACTATGGCCCCTCTGGCAGCGGGTACAAGTGATATTCACATCCTTCGCTCTGCGTTGAACGCGCTTACGTTTCCGACTTGCTGCCGCCGTAGAGCCACGCGTGTTGTCCGACGTCTCCAGTGAGTTGCTTGTCTCTTTGGCAGCAGCCGGCAACGAAGGCGGAGGCACATACAAGGAGGGTCGGTTGACCTGTCGGCCAGATTTGGTCTGGGTTGCTGTCGGCGCAACATCAGATTCGTCGCTGCTAGAATCACCGGCCCGAATGACGCTCTCGTCGTCACTGTCCTTGTTGCGGCGGCGCTTCTTGTTCTTGGCCCCATTCGTGATACTCTTCCTATTACGAGAGCTTCCTGCCGTGGGCTTTTTAGACTTAGAGATTGAGCTTGCTGTAGACGAAGGTTTGGCCGTCAAGACGGTAGTCTGAGGCTGTAATGGTGATAAAGATACCACCACCGGTGGTGCTGTTACTGGTGGTGGTGGCGGCGGCGGCGGCGGCGGCGCTAATACAGAGCCATTAGATGATACTTCAGATAATTCATTTGTGGGTGCAGTTGGAGGCACTGGCGATGGTTTTGGTGCAATATTGACCAGGCCTCCAGGAGGATCCACAGGAGACCTCCGGGTAACAGTACTCGGGGAAGCCGCAGGTGGCACCGCATTGTTCGCATATGTGAATGGTGCCGTGGGCAATTCGATGATAGTCGAAGAGGCCCTCATAGCGCCTGTTCGAGAACCATTCAAGTTGTTTCCAACAAATCGATTCCCAGTTGGAGGGTTCCAACCGATGAATTTATTATCATATCTCTGCTGTGTGCCCTTTAGACTTCCAGTGACTCGTGCGAGTAATTCGGTTGTGGCCGCTGAAAGCCGCGGTATCTCCACCCTTCTCGACGGCGTACTCGACGATCGGGTCGTATTCGACGAGGACAATGCTGAGGATGAATCAGTGATGGGCTGGAGTGAGGGCGCTGATGAAAGCGAACCCGAAGTGGTGGTGGTGGTGGTGGTGCGCAGAAATGCGTGGGTGGGTGGCGCTGTCTCTATAGACGCCAGAGAGGCAGAAACCCCATTTTGCTGTGACATGTCCCCCCAGATCTGCCCTGTTGAACACACTCACGCTGCAACGGCAAGGCGCTCGCTAATGAGCCCGAGATATGTATCAATGCTGCCACGGGTAAAACAGGAAAAGACCATCTTGAACGGATCCAGATTTGTATACTATCACGTGATCGCTAGGAATTCATCCCCGCGCCCTTGGAAGGCACTGCCTGACTGCTTTCGGTGCCAACCCATATCCTGTAATACAATTCCTGCAATATCTCCAGCCACCAGGTTGTTTTGACGGCCTTGGCATCTAGCTGTTATTGCGTTCCTAAGGCTTTGCGAAGCTACATCCCAGTGCGGCTCAGCCGACAGGTGCACGAAAACTAACCATATATTCGGTAGAGACGAACCCTCCTTACGGACCACACACACTCCTCCCTTATCACCTTAGGATAATTTACCACTAGCCCACCGAGGCTATGTATTGAATCACAACACGTCTATGCCACTACACCTTCCTGCTTCAACTGAGCTATCTCCTCCTTCCCATACTCGAGTACTTCTGCCAAAATCTCGTCGGTGTGCTGCCCGAGGGTCGGAGGCGGCGTCCGAACACCAGGGGTTGCATGGGAATATTTGATCGGTGTGTTCACCAGCTTGATGGGCCCGCAGGCTGGATGATCAACTTCAGTGACCATACCCCGTGCTTGGACTATATCCCAGAGTCAGAGTCGTCGTGTCCGGAGAATAAGCGCTTGGGAGAAAATGGTCTCACCATGAGCATGATTTAGTGTTCCTTGGATGTCGTTGACTGCGGCATACGGCATCCCGCTCCCTTCCAATATCTCCAGCCATTCCTGCGTCGTCTTTTGTCTCACTCTTTGCTGAATCAACCCATCAATCTCCTCGCGGTGTTTCACTCGGTCGCTATTGGTGACAAACCGGGGATCGGTCTTCCATTCCGGATAACCTAGCCGATCGCATAACACACCGAACAATCTGTCGTTCCCGCCGCCAAAGAGGATATCGCCGTCACGCGTTTTGTAACTTCGGTAAGGCACGATGGATGCTTTGCAAGACGGGGGTCAGTAAGACCGCACGATCCAGACAGCACTGCTTCGCGGCTAACACTTACGGTGTGCCGTCCCCCACCGGCCAGAGTCCTTCTTCCCACTGATCAGCGCCGAGCTTGCAATGTTCGCCAAAGTCGCGACCTGACAATCGCTCAAGCATGCATCGATATGCTGCCCCTTCCCCGTCCGCCCTCGAGCAATCAATGCCGCCATGATGGCATTAGACGTGTAAAGACCAGTGGTTAGGTCCGTCACAGCTACGCCGACCTTGACCGGCTCCCCCTCCCTACTACCAGTGATGTGCATCAGGCCCATCTCGGCCTCGACCATGACATCGTACCCGGCGCGGTTGCTGTATGGCCCAGTCTGGCCGTAGCCGGTGATACTGGCGTAGATGAGTCGGGGATTTATAGCTTTCAGGGTCTCGTAATCCATGTTGTACTTCTTGAGGCTACCAGGAAGATAGTTCTCCACCAACACGTCGCACTCTTTGGCCAGACGATGTAGAATCTCCACTCCTGATTTATGAGCAAAGGATAAGCCGAGAGATTTCTTGTTGCGGTTTACCTGAGCCAGACGTTAGTTGCTTGACTTCCAGGAATAGCTTCTGGCGGGCTACCTTACTCCCAAGTAGTAGGCGCTCTCTCCGGGCCCTTCTGACCCGTCAGTGTACTTGGCGTATGGTGGTCCCCAAGCACGAGTGTCATCGCCGCGTGTTGGGTGTTCTACCTTGATAACGTCTGCTCTGTAGAAGACCACATATGGTCAGTATTGTATGTGTCATGAAGCATCAAAGTAGCGGCAGCATACCCCAGGTCTCCCAGGATTTGTGTACAGTATGGCTGCATGGGATGTCAACACAAGCCTATGGAAGGTCAATTGCATAATACTCACACCAGCCAGAACCCTCGTCATATCTAGAACCCTAATGCCTTTCAAAGGCAGGGTATCATCTGAAAGTGCAGTAGAATAAGTGCGCCACGATCGGTTGCTCCTTGATAGATAGAGGTGTGTATGGTTGAGCGGCCGGCGCGCAATAAAGGCCCGCGGCACCTTCGAGGAGATTATAGGATTCATTCTCAATTGGTGAGGGAGGACATAAAAAAGCTCTTGTATTGGATTCAGAAAGGCAAGATGAATGTGTCCAAAGATCTTGAAATAATAAAAGACCAGCAGAAGCAAGGAACCGAACAAGAACTGTACAGTACAACTTCCAACTATCGGCGGCCATCACCGAGCGGCGGCGCGGGATCGGCCCCCAAGCCGAGGTCAACCGCTTTCCCGCTTCGCGACTTCCTCTCTGTGATCTTCAATTCCGCTCGATCCGCCCGCCGGCTTCGGTTTGTTTGATTCTGTCTACTCCCTGCTATTCTGTCACCATGTTCACGGGTCTTGTTGAGAAGATTGGAAGTCAGTTGCTGTCTCCTGTACTGCCCCGTTCTATAACTGACTATGGTGCCGTCACTTCTTAGCGGTCTCGTCCCTCGAGCCCCTCGATACCTCGTCAAGCGGGGGCGGGGGAACATCGCTGACTATTACCGATTGTGAGGAGATCCTCGTCGATGCGCATCTCGGCGATAGCATAGCTGTCAATGGTACATAACAACCCCTCCATCCCTCCTCCACGACCATCATCATCAATATTACCATCACCGAACCCTTTCATTTGCGAATCCCTCTCTCTTCCTCCCCGGTCCCTCATCTCATTGTCAGACACATCCCCCCCCCACCGTCCTAGCTGGTCGCAATCCCCTTTCCCCCACCGCGGAGCACTGAACATATCAACACAAAAAGAAAACCGCACAGAAAAAAGTTAGACTCACACAAAACCCCTCGAAAAAAAAACAGGAACATGCCTCACGGTCACGGCCTTCGATAAGACATGGTTCAAGGTAGGCGTCGCGCCGGAGACCCTGCGGCGCACGAACCTGGGCACCCTGCAGACGGGGTCGAAGGTGAACCTGGAACGCGCGGTGCTGGGCGAGACGCGGATGGGCGGGCACTTCGTGCAGGGTCACGTCGACACGATCGCGCAGATCCTGTCCGTCACGCCGGACAGCAACGCGCTCGTGTTTCGCTTCCAGCCGCGCGACCAGGGGGTCATGCGCTACATCGTCGAGAAGGGCTACGTCACGCTGGACGGCGCCAGCCTGACGGTCACCAAGGTCGTGGACGGCGCCGAGGGCTACTTCGAGGTCATGCTCATCGCCTACACCCAGGAGAAGATCGTCACGGCGGCCAAGACGCCCGGCGACTACGTCAACGTCGAAATTGATATTGTGGGCAAGTACGTCGAGAAGAGCGTGCAGGCGTACTTTGCTGGTTCGGCTGCTTCGGCGGGGGGTGAGTTCAGCATGCTGGAGAAGATGGTGTCTCGCATCGTGGATGAGAAGTTGAAGCGGTGATTTTTCTCGGTGATATAAATGTAATAAAAGGAAAGCAAAAAGTATCTACTGAATCGATGATGGGGTATGAGCGTACACGATTTTTGATAAGGCTTAACGAATGATAATGCTTTTTACTTCGTCCAGGGCTCTTGCTGCATGTGCAACCAGAAATCGTGGGTATAATTTTGAAACTCCTAACGAACCATAGGATACATAACTTTTTCCTTTCCATCAAACAAACAGTGAATAGCTATAACGGCGTCCGACGTACGGACGGATTGAGTTGGTTCCCACCGATCTTTCCATATCTCCATCACACGGACCACGTATATCGAACGCTGCATAGTGTATGACAGACACCTCATGTGCATCATACTGAAAACACGGCTATGAGCATTTGACATGATGCAACGCGCTGGAATTGACTGCATAGTTTCATTGGCACGTCGCAGACGTGTCGGAAGCTATCCGGCGTGAAGAAGGCAAGGGCGTAAAGGGACTGGTAAGCCTGGGGAGGGCCGTGAGGCAGCCAATATTCGTGATGGCTGACGACTCAAAAGAATATCGTTTTTACGGATGGCGAAGGAGATTTACTCATCCATAGACTCATCGCCATCCTCCTCTTCACCCTCCTCCTCCTCCTCCTCCTCCTCCTCCTCTTCCTCGTCGTCTTCATCCTGCACCACATTCTCGTCATCCTCGTCGAAATCGTCGCTGAGCCAGTCTTCGTCGCTCATGTCAACGTCCTCGTCGTCATCATCTTCAACCTCCTTGCCATTGGCCTTAGCTTTAGCCTTCTCGGCCTTCTTCTTCTCAATGTTCTCCCTCTGCTGCTTCTTTCTCTCATCCTTCTCCTTCTTCTTCTTATCCCAATTCTTGTCCAGTTTGTTGACTTCCTCCTCAGACTTCGAGATAAAGTCGTGCCACATGACTCTGCCCTCACACAAGCCCTCCTCAACCTTTTGCAACCGGAGCTTCATGCGAGGGCCCAGCTCAACCAGCTTGACCGCCCGCTTCTCGACCCCGGGGCCGTTGCTCAGCTTCTTCTGTGCCTTCTCCTTGTCGCCAGCCTTCATCCGCTGCAGTTCACGTTTCGTGAGAACCTTGCGGGTGGTGCTCTCTGCAATCTCCACCTCCGCATCCGTGTCCATCTCGGTTTCACTAGCAGACGTGTAGCCCGCCGCCGAGGGATCGAGCAGGTAGTCCGCGGCATCCTCGAGCTTTCCGAGGTTCGGCACGGCGGTCTTCTTCTTCTCCTTGTTCCGGATTTCCTTGGGGTCGAGGCGGCGGATACGCTTCGAGATGCCGGTCTTCTTCGTCGTGATGGCATAGTGTCTGAGGTTGAGGACATAGGAGTCCTGTTCTTCGCCTTCAGGGGCGAGCTCACGGTTCAAGAGCATGACACGACGGATGGAGGTGAGAGGGGTGGCTTGGGGGTTGATCGGAGGGAAGAGCGACTGGAAAATGGTCGTGGTCAGGCTCTCGAGGCGCTTCGGTACTTTGGAGTTCTCGTCGGCGCCGGGGGTATTGAAGTTGTTCATCACGAGCAGCGGAGGCGTCTTGTGGTCCTGGCCACCGCCGCGCGGGCGCTTCAACGACTTCTCGACGTCTCTGCACAGGGAGTAGTTCTCCACCTTGAAATGCAGGGTCGGCCCTCGCGGTGTGAGCGCCAACCGCAGGTTTGTGTTGCCCGTGGCGGATTTAGAGAAAAGAAGAAGATGGGTGACACCCAAAGGACCGGTCATTGTGGTGAAATCCCGAAGTCTGTTCGATTTGCGTTCCTGGTGACAGTTAGAAAAAAAAAAGATTCAACATTGTACAATCCCCTGGCATCGTCGGCGAAAAGTCGACCGATTGTTGACATACCTTCAAGCGCACAGCCGTATCGGGCTCAAGCATCGTCCGCACATCTTTGACCAGCTGACTGACACTGGAACCGACCTGTGTAGCGCCAACTCGAATGACCATCGACTTGGGAGTTTTGCTCATAGACGAGGCGCCGCCTTTGGCAGCAGCCGTGGCATTTGTCGCGCGAACATGGGTGCGCTTCTTGGTGCGTGCCTTCGCCATGGTGAAAAACGATGTGAAATGAGAATTACGGGGAAATAATCACTAAGGATGGATCTTTACCCCCGGATGCCTGGATCAAAAGTAGGACTTTTTCTTGACCCGCAGAAAAACTAAAGGCGGAGCAAAGCCGCGGAGGAGCCCGGATCAATGATTTTGCGGCGCCCAGTATCGTCGAGCTTGCCTTAGTCCAGAACATGTTAGTCTATCAGTGTATTTTGATGAACAAACCACTGAACAACATATCTTCCATTTCGATCGCAATCCGGGTCCATCTTGGCCTTTGAATACCGCCTGATGGTATTGCCGAGACACAGGGGCGGATAGTGCTGTGAAGGACGCAGACAAGGAAGAATGCGACGAGGATGAGAATAGGCTGTGGAACGCACTCTCTAGTTGAGATGGATAAGAAAGGTTAGAGCATGATTGACTCTTGTGGATCAAGCAAAGGCGTGTTGTGACGACCCTTCTCAATAATGGCATTCCGATGCTTCCTATTATTAGCGCCCTGCCTCGATCAACAGGAGGCCTTCAGTGGTAATTACGGGACAGATTACAAGAGGTAGAGAAACATCGTGGAATTTATCGTGACGCAAAAGGATAAGATATTCTTAAACATAGATACCCATGTTGGTGTCCTTCTTCTTCGCCTGTACTTCCGAGATGGCATCGACGTAGTTCTCGTGTCCCACCTTACTCATGCCCTTACGAAGAGCAATCATACCAGCTTCCACACATACAGCCTTCAACTGCGCACCTCCGAATTCATCGGTACTGCGAGCCAATTCTGCCCAGTTGACCCCATCATCCACGGCCATCTTGCGGGAGTGGATCTGTAGGATATTGGCGCGAGCCTCCTCGTTGGGCAGGGGAAACTCGATCTTGCGGTCCAGGCGACCGGAACGGAGCAAGGCCGGATCCAGCACGTCAATGCGGTTCGTGGCCGCGAGAACCTTGATACGATCATCGGAGGCAAAACCGTCGAGCTGGTTGAGGAGCTCCAACATGGTTCGTTGCACTTCACGGTCACCGGACTTCTCGGAGTCGAAACGCTTGGTACCGACGGCATCCAGCTCGTCAATGAAAATGATCGAGGGGGCCTTCTCCTTAGCGAGGGCAAAGCAGTCACGAACAAGCTTAGCACCGTCACCGATGAACATCTGTACCAGCTGAGGACCGGCAAGCTTCAAGAATGTGGCATTCGTCTCTGCGGCGCAGGCTCGGGCAAGAAGGGTTTTACCGGTACCGGGGGGTCCGTACATCAGAGCACCTGGCACCAAATTAGTACGCCATAACTTTCAGCCCATCGGATTTCACGAATCACATACCCTTCGGTGCCTTGATACCGAGCTTCTTGAACCGATCGGCTTCCTTCATCGGCCAAACGATAGCCTCGACAATCTCCTCAATCTGCTTGTCCAAACCACCAATGTCCGTGTACTTCTCCGTCGGCTTCTCGTCAACCTCCATGGCCTTGACCCGGTTGTCATACTCGGCTGGTAGTGTGTCCAAGACAAGGTATGAGTCTTTGTTAACACCGATGAGATCGCCGGGCTTGAGCTTCTCGTGGTCCACAAGACCAATCAACGGCAAATAGATGGTTTGACGGGTCGAGGTCTTGATGACAGCGGACTTGCCGACACGGGTAGCATCGAGATCGATATTAGCTCCTTCCTCGGCGGCTTCAGCCTCGACATCAAGATCTAAAAGCTCAACAACGTTTCCGACAAGGTAGGGTAGTTGCCTGAGAGATGATTTGTGGTCAGCAGGAAGGCCTGGGTAGGGAACCGCCATCGCCACGAGTCGGCGCACACAGTAGGCGAACCGATAGCGACGTCGAGGGCAACATACCGGTTGTTCTCAATCTTCTCTTGGTTATCTTTGACCTTCTCCCTCATCGTGTTCTGTTCGTGTGTCAACCGCTGGTATTCGCTCTTCATTATACGCAGTTCGTTCTCCAGCATTCGCCGCCTCTTAACGATATCCGCTGTGCTGGAAGAGAGAATCTCCTCATCAAAAAGTTCATCGTCCTCCTCTTTCTTCTTGGCATCAGCATCGTTCATATCAGCATCTCCGTCGCCATCGGGCTTTCGGTCGCCGCCATCGCCCTGATCCTTCTTCTTCTCTCTCTCTTCACGCTCGAGGTCGTCAAGGTCTTCCAAGGTAGACATGGTGCAAGATTAGATGAGAATTACAATGACAGAATAAATTATGTTTAGGCCAACTTGGTAGGTATATGGGGAGAAAGAAGGTAAAGGGAGAGTGAGAATGGGAGAGATGGGGAACTGAGAGCTGCGTTGGAGCCGGCTTGCTCTGAGCTTCGGCCAAACAACGTCAGCCGTCCTGCCTATATCACGTGATGCTATTACAAATGACCCGTCCTCCGACTGCTAGGTAATGACTCCGGTTTTCAAGTTAGTGCTACTCCGTACTGATGTAGAGTATCTGGGACTTCACTTATGGTATATAATGGTAATGATCCTTCGATTCGCACCCCACATGCCAGCTTCACAGTGGGTATAGGAGGCTCCCGACCACAATTACACCATTGCGTCTACTGCTTTGCACTTTCACTCGCCTCTGCAACGCTTGCTATGAACACACCATCCACGCATGGTCTATGTACAGTATCTGAGCACGACCAGCATTCGCACGCCTATTATATCAGAAAGTTCGGGTTGCCTTCTTTGTGGCCTTTACCATGCCAGTTACCGAGATTATTTAGGACGTGTTCTCGGCCGAACTTGAGAAGACGATATTGAGAAAGAAAATCGTCATTATTGACTAACATGAGTCAGCAGAGGTACTCAGACTTCGGATTGAAGACGGTATGAAGCAGTCATCGAACCAAGAGCACTTACTATAACCACCACACATTCTCCGCTTTCCGGTGAATTTCGAACGCCCGTGGAGCATTCTCCAATTATCGAAGACTTTCAGTCGGTCAGCTAGGGGTTTCCAAATACCACCGTGAATCAACTACTCGGTACTTACTTAGAGCGGTTCCCGGTTCGAGTTGTGTCCAGATCTGGAACTCCTCGCGGCTGATTATCTCGTTCCAGTGTCGCGCCGCACTGTACCACTGCTTCAAGTCTTTGATTCCCCAATTCGTCTTCGGTGCTCTGTCGTAATTGTTCCAGCGGATCCGGTACAGCTGGTCTAATTGCGGGTGAAGTTCGAGCACCGGAAATTCGTGTATAGGCTGTATGCAGACCTTCTCGTTGCCACTGGCATGAGCAGGCTGGCTTTGGCGCATTAGCGAGGCGTAGTGCGCCTTTTTCTCCTTCTGCAGCGTCTCGGCAGCTCGAAAGCCATCAACTAGCAGGCTAGCGCCCCCTTGCCCGTCGGTATGAGACAAAAGGTGGAACATTTGGAGTCTCGCAGGATCCGTAAAGTATGTAGTATCAGTGTGTGCACCGAGACCTTCGCTTGTATACGCAGAGTCACCAAAACTCATATCAGACGTGAAATCCCAGAAACCCCCTGGAATGAATTAGCATTGTCGTAGATCAAGGGGGACTGTAGGAGCATATAACGTTGTTTTCATACCATAATGCGTGGGCCTGATAAAAGCGATTCTCTCGAGAAGCTTCTCAGTGTCCCGAGTCGTCACGGGAACACCTATGACGAAACAAAACCCGTAGCTATACTACCCAAAATCAGTGATCGGGTAGCAGATCGTGGAGCGGGAATGGGACTCACAATTTTATCAAGCCACTGCAACAACCCCTTGTCGTCCTGCATAACATCGTCATATGAAACCGTGGGATATGGCCCAGTCCCCGTGAATGGATGGTAAGGCCTAGGAACATGTATGGTAAGTTCCCATTGCAGCGTGCATCTTATCCGTGTTTGTAGTACCTGGGTTTGGCTGTATGAACGGCCCGAAGCACACTAGTCGGCTTTTTGGTACCATTGGCTTTGAGCCAGGCATATGTGTAGAACCCCGTATGTCCATCCGAAACTTCTTGGATTTTAGCCTCGGCATGACTTGAGAGACAGCGAATATACACTTACATTCCACTCTGAGGCCTTCCGCTGCATAGATGACCTTCTTGATAATTATTTCTGAAGGAATCTAGGGAATAGCAGACGCAAGAGGGTATATATCAGCAAAATACTTCGCATGTTCGGGATTCGCTCACATACCGCAAATGTGTCTACCTCCCGTTGTCGGGTTTGAGGATGATGGCATTTGTCACACTGACAGTTGTCTCTACCATAGAGCAATACTCGAAAGATAAGTCTCGATGTGATGAGCACTGGCCATAAAGCGACTCACCGTAGCCAGAATGGTCCTCTGCAAAACAGTGTTAGCTGTCTTAGCCCTTCATGCGTATTGAAGGCAGCTGATAGTGAAAAATGCTTACAGTTTCTTGAAGACGTCCTTTGAAAACTGTTGAGCTGATTTAGGGTCATGTTTGACTGTCTCGTTCACAGTCCTGGCTAAATTGATAGTTGCATCAGCTTCCACTTGCCGGTGATATCAAGGCCCATGGTGTGGCGCTCGGGAGGGAGGTGTATTACATTGTCCTATAAAGAGTTGTCTTGTGCTCTGCGAGGGAGACATTCAGCTTAAAAGAACGGTGTCAGGTACCAGTTGACCCCAGGTGTAAATACACACCGAAACAGCATAGGTCCATCGGGAGCAAGGCACCACATTTGTGCTCCTATATCAATCATGAGCATTCGTTGTGGCAGCTCGGAGAATGGTCTCTACCTGAACGGGCTTGAAGGGGCGAGCGCCCGACAAAGAAATCGCCTTCCTACAACATTCATCTCAACTCTTTGGGCACCAAATCTGCGACTTAAACAATGCTTTCCAGGTTCGCGTGACGAAGAATCTCAGTCTCTATATATCGAGAATCAGTGGACGACCGAAGTTCTATGTCACGTGTGTGGTCCGAAAAGCCGAGGTAGAAGCGCCCACCCCGCAAATCGGCCCACCTTTAAGCTGTTGCTCTAATTTATGCTTAACAGTTTTGAGACTGTTACTCTAGCTAAGTTGAACCTCTAGACTGGGTCACACTCATATGTGCTTGCGAGATATATCAGTTTGCGATCTAACGATCTACTCATATGGAAAAAGATGTTTTCTAGTTAACCTATGATAATGCAACTACAGCTTGGCCTTCGAGTCGGTAGCTTTCAAGAGACAACGGCCATTGCTGAGTACCACCTTGCCCTTATCGTTTCTCACAATAAAACGAATCTCTTCATCGCCGCCTTCCAGCCTGCCCATCCGCCAGATCTCAGTCGTAAGCTTGTCGCCTGGTTTTACTGGAGAGGCAAAGCGCGCTTGGAACTCTTTCAGGTTTTCTGGATCGCTCTGTCCAATCTCTCTCAATACACCATGGGCTGCGGCGTTCCAGCTGAAGAGTCCATGGATGATGGTGCCACCGAAACCCATCTTTGCACCCGGCTCGGGAGTTGCATGGAGAGGGTTGTAGTCACCATTGAGACTGTCTAGTGTGTTAGAACTTTCTCGGAGAAACCAAGTCGGAGAGGTATCCAGAGATCTTACCGGTACAAGAGAGCCGTCTCCGGCGTCGTCTGAATTATATGGGTGGCGTCAGGGCTTTTACCCTCCGGAGGGGGGTAATTCACCGTGCTTGGGCCTTACACAAAAACAAGTTAGGCAAATTTCATAGGTTTAGTCCTAAGACCGGACAAAGCACCTACCCTTTGGACCTCCCCAGCCACCCTGCCCGACAAAAAAGCTGCTGCTCAGGATCTTAGTATAGATGTCTCCAGTGGCCTGGTCGACGATCGACTGTTCTGTCTCCAGCACAGTCCCGGCCTTGCCCTTGTCATAAAGTCCAATGACCTTGTTGCGCAGCTCGAATTTCCGTCCTGCGCTGGATGTTGGGAGTGGCTTCAGAGCAATGATTCGCCGCTGACCATCCACAACACGGCGGTAGTCGAGCTTGGGAGCTCCTGGAATCGGGGCACCGCCTGCCCGAGCATAGAAGTCAATCACTTCCTGATCGGTGAGCTTAAATGCTGTATGAAGTAAAACATCTTAGTGGTCGTTGAATTCTGAGCTGAGAGGCTCGTACATACGAAGGATAACCGGGTAGGTTGGAAAGACCGCGAATCTGGGGTGGAGTTCCTGCGCCGCGCTTCTTTTAGCACAAGCCGGAATGGGGCCGTGTGTAGACAATCCAACATACATAAAGGAAGTGAAGTTCATCAGCTTTGCAGCCAATGCTGTTGGCAAACACGAGAATATCGCGCTTCTGCCAGGAGACTTCCTGGGGAGCAAACTCGTGACCAGCTCCGGGAGCAGACATCTCAGCGAGTGACAATGTAGATAGTCGACTGCGTATGTGTGGTATTCGATCGGCGATGGAAGATTGTGTCTAGTGCGCTATGCGATATTTCTGGAAGCGGATTTGAGTTACTTGGGTAATGGGTAATGCAGGGCTGATTAGGCCTTGGTTTTCACAAGAGTCTGGGACGGTATGCTATGCTTTTGTACCCCGGACAGAACAGCGCTCCGTTGCGGGGCCGCAAACAAGCCGAGGCTAATGTAATCTGGACCGAGAGCGCCATGCCGCTTTGGATGAACCAGCCAAATCAGCCCAGATATCGTAGTAACAGCGCCGCGGTCGGTGAGGCGCTAGATTGATCTATAAGCTCAAGGCTCAGAGAGAGGTATACAAAGCATTACAACAACTGTCAATGTTTTAGCCCGCAGACACTTGGGGATATCCAGATGGGGCTGAAGCTAAACAATATAAGGAGATCGTCAAGAGATGATAAGATTGAGCATCGACTCGGGGTATCTACTTGGGAATTTCGAGGAGCTTCATGATCGTCCTTGAAAACCATCTCTCCGTGTCGCGCCAAATAATGATGCCGTTTCCTGCCTTCCAATAAAACGCCGGAACATAACGGAAATGAAATGGCATAAACAAACAAAGCAAGTCAAGAAAACCTATTCATCGACCCAACGTCATGCAAGTGTACTTTCCTTCAAATGCCATGCAACCTAAGGGTAAATAGTATCGAGGGTACTGACAGAATTCCAGAACAAGGAATCCGGTCAGAGAGATCAGTGTACCGACCCAGTGATGGATCATTTTGGTGATGAGGATTTCAACGCCTCAGTTTAGCACCTTCAATAATTAGCTTCCTGATTGGCTCGATGATGCTGATTAGTGAGTGCACTTACATTCTGTAGAAGCAGCCACCCTCGGCGGTGCGGTTCTGGTCCGTAGTCTCCAGCTTGTAGGTGATGCTGATATCAAGGTCGCGCTTGTTCTTGTCATTGGGCTTGTTCTCGAGCATACCAGACACAACTTCCTCTTCCTCAACGGTAAGGACATCCCGCAGATAGAAAACGGTCTGCTTCCAGTGGGTGTACTTGGCATGGGGGCCAGTAGAAAAAAGGATTGGCTTGTGGCAAGCGCCAAATTCGATATCGAACCAGGCGATAACGGCATGGACAAAATCGCTGCGCTTGATAGTGAGCGAGTAGGGTACCTTGAATGCAAGATCTTCCTTGGTGACAGTGTAGAGATCGAATGAAATGATGGGGCAAGGGTCAGAGACAAGTGCCTTCATCTCGACTGTATCCACAAGAGGCTCAGTGAGGGCAGTTTCCTTCATGGGGCTGTAATCAAAGCCATAGACGTTGTCCCAGACTAGTTCTGATTAGCGGCGATTTGGGATTGACGAAATGGGTTCTCTCACATCCAATCTTATCATCCTTGTACTCGCCGTCTTCAATAGCGGCCAGGTACATGGTAGCCTTGTCGGGGAAGATCTTGCCACCGGGGACGAGGTAGCGGTCGCGGGCATAGAGGACAGTGTCCAGCATGGACTCGTAGAGAAGGAAGTAGCCCATCCACTCGGAGATGATAATGTCAACCTTGGGGTAGGGCAGGACAACCTCCTCCATCTTTCCCTGCAGGAGGGTGATCTTGCTGGTCAGGCCGTTGACCTCAACGATTTCACGGGCCTTCTCGATGATCGAGGACATATCAACACCCATCACATGCTTAGCACCGGCCTTGGCAGCAAACCTAAGAAGCCAACAACATCAGTATCCAGTCATAGGCTTGTAACGGATTCGGGCACCAACATGCTAAGAATACCGGTACCGCAGCCGACATCGAGAACAACCTTGTCCTTGAAAATGTGACGGTTCTGGTAAATGGAGTCGCGGTAAGATCTGGTGCGAACATCGTCTTTCTGTTTAGAAGGAGATATTAGTAGGCTATTAGAATGTGCTGTGTGCGGCGGACTTACAAGCATCTCCTCGTGAATGCCTGAGCGGGGTTTGACGTTAGCCATCTCCGACACTAAGTAAAGTTCTGTGCTTGGGATTATTTACCATGGTGATCATAACTAGGCACAATTAGCACAATATCAAGGTCAGTCACTGGGATAAGATGTACCTCGTGAAATAACGAACTTCAGCATGGTCCATGCCAACCATGCGATCAGCACTGCTGGACTGTTGTTTCTCAACTCCGGCCATGATTGCAAATCTGTCGGTTGCTTATGGGTGAAATAAAATAGAGAGATTCTAGGCAATGTATCGCGGACCCAGGAACCTAGATCACAAGCGAGATGAGAAGAAAATATCAACAGATTTAGCTGATGATAAAACAATATGCAGAAGTGAAAAAGTACAAAGCGCTTCAGCGAACCCTTCGAGCGGCCGCCTTTTTTTTTGGCCTTTGCCCTCATTGGGAATTTCTCCTCTGGAAGGCAACATACGCTAAGACCTAATAAGGTTAGACTCTTGATGAGATAGACTATGCTGGATACAGTCTATCAGCATGTGACTCTTGTAGCCCTAAGTACTGATTAGGGCTATGAACAGATGATAAGTGACTTAAACCGTTGGGACTTGAAAGTCGGACAGAAGGCCCTAGCACTGTATCTCGGACTGCCAATCAAATTTGGATATGGATAACTCAATTGAGCCATGGTAGCAATTGAAATGCAATTATGATTCTTCAGAGCAGTTTCTATTGTACTTGGCGATCCTACTGTAGTACAACATAAACTTTTTGGCCAGTTTTAAATTCCAAAGAGCAAGTAATGTGCTGCGGTCAATTTTCGTGGCTACGGGAACAGCCCATCAGCGCCTTAAGCAAAAGTTAAAGATACAAATGCTCCATCTCAAGTATGATTCTTCGGTGATTTATTGTGACTTAGATTTGAGGATCCATTCTTCGATCATGCTTCCATGCTATTTCTAGACCTGGGACCGGAAATGCCGAGCTCCCTATTTATTGCCGCGCGAAGCCACTCCGCCCCCGCTGCTGCCACGCGCCGCCTAGCTTCTTCTAAGGGTCTACCTCCCTGAACTCACCTTACTGCCGGTTGTGCTACAAGAGCTCAGAGATCACTATGTTTCTAGGCTCAACCAGGAGAAAGCTCTATTGCTGCTTTCTGCTCCTCTTCTTCGCTTCTCTCATTGGCAAATCGGCGGCGTCTCTGGGCGATCACCTTCCTGATTTCAAGGAATGTGTTAAGGTACCTGAACCACACTGGCTAGAGCTGTGCAGATGCAATGCGATAGCTAATCTATGAGCAGGTCTGCAAGGCTGAAAATTGTCACGATGGCAACTCGGTGATCCGTAAGCTTCACACATTTTGACCATAGTTTTCCCGACTAATTCGTTACCAGCTCTCCATCTTCGTCTCATGCTGTGGACGTGTCCTTCCGAGTGCGATTATACCTGCCAACATGTCGTGACAGATCGCCGTGTCGCTCGCGATCCTCCGATGTTAAATCCAGTACTACAATTTCACGGGAAATGGCCGTTCCGCAGAATCCTCGGCATGCAGGAGCCCTTTTCTGTCCTTTTCTCCCTCCTCAACTTTCTCGCCCACTGGCACGGAATGGGTAAGATCCGAGAAACCATTCCATCGTGGCACTCACTCAAGCCGTATTATATGGCTTTTGGATATTGTGGATTAGCATGCTGGACATTCAGTGCCTTGTTTCACACACGAGACCTCCCATTGACCGAAAAGCTGGATTACTTTGGGGCTGGAGCTAACGTGATGTATGGCTTGTACCTTGCAATCATTCGGATATTCCGTCTAGATGGAGAGGAGCCTCGCCATAAGCCGACTTTGCGCCGTCTCTGGACAATTATCTGCATATTTCTTTACACTTTGCACGTCTGCTACCTGAGCTTCTGGTCTTGGGACTACACCTACAACATGATTGCCAATATCGTGATAGGGATGGCTCAGAATATCTTGTGGGTGTCATTCAGCATTTATCGTTATAGGAAATATGGTAAAGCTTGGATGACCTGGCCCGCGTTAATTGTGGTCTGGATAATCTTGGCGATGAGCCTGGAGCTGCTTGACTTTCCCCCTTGGAATGAGCTCATTGACGCACATAGCTTATGGCATCTTGGGACTGTGATTCCCACCGCGTGGTGGTACTTGTGAGTTGTCCCGAACCCCCTATATCTAGTCCTTGGAGTGCTGGTTACTGAGACACTGACTTCTCTGGGCCCTAGTTTCCTTACCAAAGACATCCAGAATGATGTGGCAGGGGAGAGACTCAAGCTCTAAGCTGGCTTGCGGGGACGACTTTACATACATGCTGCAGAAAGACTCGGCTCAGCTTGGTGCCAGTAGCAGTCAGGTTTTGAATTGGTCCTGGTGATCTCAAACAGTCTGAATGAAATGTAGTAATATTTGGTAGAATGTTCAACGATTTTAAGGCTGCTAGAAACCTACTATGTAGATATAAGTATCTCGAGGTAGCTTTCTGGCTGTGCCTTTAATTTCCACTTTTTCCCCTGTTCCAACTTCCTTCCCGTCTCCCTCGGCTGGGCGGGTTGGTCCAAACCACGCTATCGGTCAGCGGCTCACCGCTTGGGCGCATTGTGGGCAGTACAGGGAAAGCTAGTAAGTAGCCTGAGCTGGCCCCGGTTTTATGTCTCACCCACTCATCCCTCCACTCGCTCTGCCTTTCCTCTTTTTTGTGATATTTCTCCCCTTTTCGTCTGACACTACACCTGCTTCACAATAGTGCCGTCTGCTTCAAAGCCCTGAGCCGCCATTTGCCACGAGATCTGCCGCCGCCTCTTCATTTCCACCTAGTTCGCGCCACAATGGCGTCTCCGGCTGTCAAGAAAGCAATCGCAGAAGCGGCTGCTCAGTACGCAAAGCCAGAAGGGAGGATCTTCCAATATGGTACTGCAGGAGTAAGTTCCTACGTGTTGTCGAACACTTCGACTCTGTAACAATCTGACTGACTATTTGCCCGCAGTTCCGTATGAAGGCGTAAGTCAAGCTGCTCAATCAACAACCTGAACGATCGACCCCGCCTCCACAATACCCCGCGATCGCTCCTTTGTTTACATGTTACTGAGGCCATACCAGCGACCTTCTCAATACCGTCGTTTTCACTGTTGGTTTGCTTGCGGGCCTTCGTTCCAGGAAGCTTAGTGGGCAATGGGTTGGTGTCATGGTCACTGCCAGTCACAATCCTGCAGAGGACAATGGCGTGAAGCTCGTCGACCCTATGGTGAGTTCCTCCACCTTGGTAGTCTCTTAATGTAAGCTCAGTAACTGACTTAAATACTCAAATAGGGTGAGATGTTGGAGGTAGGAGCCAAATTATGATTCACTAACGAATGTCATCTCACATCCTTTCAGGCCGAATGGGAGACCTATGCGACCAGACTTGCCAACGCCCCGCTCGACAAGGTCGGAGATGTGTACGAAGAGTTGATTAAAGAGATCGATGTCAGCATGGAGAACCAAGCTCGCGTTGTTTTCGCCCGCGACACTCGCGCGTCTGGCTCTCGCCTCGTCTCGGTTCTCAACGCCGCACTTACCGCTACGGAAGTCGAATTCCTTGACTTGAAGTACCTGACCACCCCTCAGCTTCACTATATCGTTCGGTGCAAGAACACTCTGGGTACACAGTATGAATATGGTGAGCCCACCGAGCAGGGTTACTACGAGAAACTTGCCGAGGCTTTCAAGAGAGTGATGCGGGGTATCAAGATCAAGGGCTCTTTGACCGTTGACTGCGCCAACGGTGTTGGTGGACCCAAGCTCAGGGAGCTTATCAAGTACCTGCCCACTGCGGAGGAAGGTGGCCTTGACATCAAGATCGTCAACGACGACGTCATCAACCCTGATAGCCTCAACTTCGAGGTAAGATTCTTCTACAGGCCTCTACCCTGATGCCGGTCTCGGGCTAATTTGTCTATCAGTGTGGTGCCGATTATGTCAAGACGAAGCAACGTGCTCCTCCGTCTTCCAAGGCCGGTCCTCTCGAGCGTTGTGCCTCATTGGACGGCGATGCTGACCGTATCGTTTACTACTTTGTCGATGAGAGCAACGTGTTCAGGTTGCTCGATGGCGATCGCATCGCCACCCTTGCTGCATCATTCATTGGCGACCTTGCTCGTAGCGCTGGCATCGCACAGAAACTCAAGATCGGAGTTGTGCAGACTGCTTATGCCAACGGATCTAGCACTGACTACATTGAGAAGGTGCTGAAACTTCCCTCCGTTTGCACGAATACCGGTGTTAAGCACCTTCACCACGCCGCTTTGCGGTTCGATGTCGGCGTCTATTTCGAGGCCAATGGGCACGGCACGATCACCTTCTCCGAGAATGCTTTGAAGACGATCAAGAATACGGAGCCTCAGTCTCCTGCTCAGCAGCGCTCGCTCGAGTGCCTCCAGGGCTTGACGGACCTGATTAACCAGGCTGTTGGAGACGCCATCTCCGACATGCTCCTCGTGGAGGCTATTCTTTCTCACAAGGGCTGGAGCCCCAAGGAGTGGCTTGCGACTTACACCGATCTGCCGTCGCGTCTTGTCCGTGTCGAGGTCGCGGACCGTTCGATCTTCAAGGCTTATGACGCTGAGCGTAAGCTCGAGTCCCCACCCGGCCTGCAGGCTGAGATTGAGTCTCTGCAATCCCGGTACAACAAGGGAAGGAGTTTCGCTCGCGCCAGTGGTACGGAGGATGCTGTGCGTGTTTACGCCGAAGCGGCGAGCCGTTCCGAGGCCGATGATCTCGCCACCCGTGTTGCCAACGCGGTTCGTGAGGCTGGTGCCGCCAAGGAACCCTCTTCCTAGGCCACTTCTGGAGCTAACCGGCCAAGAACGCATTGTCGATGTACGGTGGTTCAGGCCGTCAGGCTAACGAACAACAGCATCACGTCTGGACGTGCAGCACAGATCTGTTGTAAAAAACCGAGTTCTAAGATTTCCTGGGAACTTTGGTGAATGAATTCATGATCTTAATTTAATTCACACATAAGCAGAAGAGTTTGCATCTCACTTTGCGCATCGTTCTAGTACCTTGGCATTTGAATCTACACGTCCTATAGAAAGCATATGTCTCGGCCTCTTACATCAGCTCCCTTTCTGCTATTGCATTTTGTGCTTACCAGACAGCCATGGAAATCGAGCTTCCTCTTATTTTATAGATCAGAGTGCTCTGGAAGAACATATCTCAGCATCCCATTGTCGTTTTCACTGGTGTTTGTCGACGAATAATCATAGAGGATGTTGCCGGCAGGGCCTCTTGTAGTCCTTAGCAACTGTGCTGTCTCGCCGCAGCATGATGCGAAACAGATGCTGTCTTTGGCTATTACCTTCCTGCACACCTTTCTGATGTAGGTGCTGTTCACCCATCTAGGACTTTTGTCGGTAGGATTGTGTCTGGTCAAGCACCCGAGCCATTCCCCGGGACTTGATGATAGGAGCCTTCCGTTGGTCTGTACAGTCTACAGGCATATACTTAAATGTGATCTCGTCCATTGGCAAGACCGGTTGAGCGATGTGATCCACACTTAAACACCATGCTGAGCGCTTCACTGTGCTATACTTGTCCCGGATGTTCTGGTATGCCTGGTTTGCGGCGCGTGTGATTCCTTTACACAATAAAGGAAAAGACTGTGGCTTGATGAATGCTATCTGTACCTCAAAGCCCTGTCCCAGGACTATGGACGTGCCAGCTATATCACTGGGGGGGATAATAGGACCTACATGGCCGGCTCTCAGGCCAACGATGTAAGGAAGCCGTAACTTTGTGCCGGTAGTTCTCGCCGTCTGTGGCCTAATTTTCAAGTAGCTGTCTGTTGTCTGTGGGCCCTTTGGTAGATTTTGATGTATCTCAATCGTAGCCCCGGTTCCGGTACGATTCATGGCCGCCTTGTGGCCTGGATGAGGTTGGCAGAACTTCGACTCGGGAATGATATATTTCGGGCCCGCTACCCAATCAGTAGACCATGGACGCGACTGGATGGGCTTGTGCAAAGCCGTATGGTTAATATGCCGAAAAGGGTGTTGGCTCATCCCAACAGGTATTTGCCTCTACATAGGTGTCTATGTCAACTGCCGTATGATTTTTTCTGTGATTCTGGGCATGATTTGACTCACCTGGCCTTTGTCGAGGTGAGCAGTCCTAGTACTCTCTGTATACAGGGATATAAGATTTAACATGCTCAAGTTTCCCAACAGCAAGGCCTGCTGGCCCAATGGTAAGGCGCTTGACTACGAATCAAGAGATTGCAGGTTCGAGCCCTGCGTAGGTCATTCTTTTTGAGCTTTTCTTTTTTTTCGTATTTCGCTACGCAGACATACGCAGACAGGTTTATTGTTTGCCGTGGCATCGCTACTTTACCTCTCATCACCTAAAATATTATTCGTTATCTAAATTATAACAGCCGATGATGATGCACTCATTCATATCAGTTGTGGTTTGAGCCGACATCAACCGCCGTCATGCCGCACCCCATGATATCGCTTCCCGACACGTATCTTATAGGGTTCTCGCTCCACTACAGAGGCTTGGCCATTGGCTACCAACTGCCAATCCCATGGGCCTCCATGGCTGGTGTATGCAATGGTGGTTTGTGGGAATGTCATGGGCCTTGAAACGTGTCATTGGGTCTAACGGAGGCAGAGACTATAGTAGCATGATCTCAAGCGAGAAAGTGATGGACATTGGATACCTTATCGTTGAGGGAGACCCCAGAAAGCAAATCCTAGCAGGCACTTTACTACCATTGGCACTATCAAGTATATATACACCGCCCAATCCCTTCACCCACGATACAAATAGCACAAAGAAGTAGTACCGTAGGGCTGTAGGTCAACACACTAGCATCCGCTCAGACCATGAACACCCCCATCAGCCGTGTACGAGCAAGACCCTTTGCCCGGCGTAGTCGAGTTCAGTGGGTACAGAACCACGTTGTCGTACTCGATGTTGTAGCAGGGGTACAGCTTCGAGCACGAGACCGAGGACGTCGTAGACTTGGTGGTGTTGATGTACCCCGTGAAATTGACAAACGCGATGTTGGAGATCAGCATCTTGCTCGTTCCGGCGTATGATCCGTTGTTCCCGCTGCTTTCGCTGATTGCGGGACCCGCGTTGGCCCCCTGCACATCAAAGTTCGAGAAAATGATGTTCTTGACGCTGCCCCAGCCGTCTCCGCGGGGCAGGTAGTCGCTCTCGTACGAGTCCTGGGGCACGAGAGCTCCAACCCAGGTCTTGATGTACGCGCTGTTGTGCATGTCCTCATTGTATCTGATGATCTGGGGGTTTGTCACGATTATTAGTTCTCACTTGCCGAACGGAGGGCTTGGGTGGTGCTATGGTATAGTACCTTGACGTTGTCAACTCGGATGTTCGCGACGCTGGAATCCTCCAAGTACTGTCCGAGACTGCCAACCGCGATTCCATTGCCGCCGCGGCAGGTGACGTTTTGGATGTCGATGTTATAGGAGCGGGGTTTGATGGCAATGCAGTCGTCGCCACCCTGGTAGACGAAGTTGGTGAGTTGGATGTTGGTGGCGTCCATCGTGTCTGGTAAGATGATGTGATCAGTTGATGGACATTACAACATATGGGGTTGCAAAGTACCTACCGAATCCATCGGTGTTCTGGACCCAGTTACTACCATACGGCGCATCGACAGCCGTCGCGTTGCAGGTGATGTCGTTGAACCTCATGTTCGTGCCGTTCATGATGTTCAGACTCCACAACGGAGGATCCTTGACGTAGAAGCTTTCGACCTCGACGTCGGACACATTCCAGAAGACGAAGGGCATCGGACGCCCAGGCTGCGTGACGCCTGCCTCTGCAGTGTACCAGACATTGCCATTGCCGTCGATACCTCCCGTCCCATACCCATTGATACTGATGTTCTGTCCAGTAATGACGAAACCAGCAGCGTGATTCTGGAAGGCGACTGGATAGGAGTGGTTGCGCCAGTACGACAGATCATCCGAGAACTGATTATAGAATGTTAGCGTGTGTGCGCATTGCGTCCATGGGCGAAGGAGACACTTACCGTCCACTTTCCCCGCCATTCAATTGCGACATTATTCAGGACAGGGTTCAGTCTCTGTCCGATCCAGTAGGACTGGTCTTCAGGGAAAACGATAGTTCCTCCATTGCCACATTCCTTGAATGCTTCTAAGAGGTTCGGTACATCGTCTTTCTGGTGTCCATTGGCCTTCACGGTACATACATTGCCTTTCTTCTGGACGTTGTTTGCAGAGCTCAGAGCCGAAAGCCCCAAGAGCAATGAAATGGAGGATGCTGAGGCCAAAGAAAATCGCATTGTGTTGGATGTGACGCGTAGACAGAATTCTGAGAGCCGGGCTGCTGTCTGCGGACCTCATATTGCGCCATCTCGCTTTTTCTAATAATTGCCGACGGGGGGCTCAAGGGTCTCTCCGCAACGTCAGATCAAGCACGAAAGCAAGCTATCGGGGACAATTGGCCCGAGTGGGAATGATAGAAATGAGGCGGGTAAAGGGGAAATGATGCAGTGCGGAGAAAAAAGACGGGGTAGAGCAGGAGATGATCCATTTTCCACCAATGACACCCCCATCATCCATGCAACCTGCATCCCAAGGCTTTGCTCATTTCCCTCCGTCAAGCTTCATCTCATTGAAGCTTGTGCGGCACGAAGCTTTTACTTGGGATGAGTGGACTAGACCGATTCATTACTTGTATTTAACCGAGCAACGTCCGAGTGACTCGCGCATTTTCCCCTCCTTTCGGTCAAAGCATCGCAAGCGAACCGAGATACAGATTAATCTCAACTCCAGGGAATCTTGAACAGCTGTTCGACCCCTCTTTTTGGTTTCTGGGGTAGAAAGTCCGGGGAATCTTCCAGTGGAGATGCCCCCTTGCTTGTATTTATATCCTCCGTCGCCGTAACGATGGGTTCATCTTTTCTCGTTCAGATCTGTCGGCACCTGAGATACCTGCATAGGTTGCGGTAGACAGCAATCATGCGTTGGCTTCCATTTCTCATAGGAGCCATAGCTCTTCTTCCTCTTTCTGAAGCCACCTCCTGCTGGCGCAACACCACCTGTTCCGGCCCTACAACTGCCGCCTTCCCAGGTTCGTGGGAGAAAAACATCTTCGCCCCGGCTTCTCGAACCGTGAACCCCGAAAAGCTCTTCGTGATCACCAAGCCAGATGTCACGCATGAGTATGCCCAGTACAAGCTACAGGGGAATGGATCCCTGGTGGTCTACGACTTCGGAAGGGAAGTAGGTGGCATTGTCACCGTCAAGTATACCTCCACTGGTAGTGGGGCTCTAGGACTGGCATTTACCGAGGCCAAGGACTACATTGGGGAGTGGTCCGACTCCTCCAATGGAGGGTTCAAAGGTCCCGATGGTGCGCTGTATGGGAACTTCACTGAAGCGGGCGAGCATTCTTATACGATGCCCGACAAGTACCTCCGTGGTGGATTCCGGTACCTGACGCTGTTCTTGATCACGGATAACTCGACTGCAGTGCAGATCAAAGACGTGAGCCTGGAAATCGGCTTCCAGCCCACATGGTCCAATCTGAGGGCCTACCAAGGATACTTTGATTCTAGTGACGACCTGCTGAATGCCATCTGGTACAGCGGCGCGTACACGCTGCAGACCAACGAGGTCCCCGTCAACACAGGTCGCCAGATTCCAGCGATGCCTGCTGGGTGGGCGAACAACGCCACGCTGGGGCCTGGTGATACCATCATCGTTGACGGTGCGAAGAGAGATCGAGCTGTGTGGCCAGGCGATATGGGCATTGCTGTTCCGTCCGCCTTTGTTAGCATCGGTAACCTGGAGAGTGTCAAAAATGCACTGCAGGTGATGTACAACTACCAGGTCTGTAATCGAGAACAGATTTATGGTTAGTCTCACTAACGAAGAACAGGCTTCGACAGGAGCGTTCGATGAATCAGGACCACCCCTGAGCCAGAAGAACTCGGACACCTACCATATGTGGTCAATGGTTGGCACCTACAATTACCTATTGTATACCAATGATACCGACTTTCTCGAGACCAATTGGGCGGGCTATCAGAGAGCCATGGAGTATATCTATGGCAAGGTGACCTACGCCAGTGGCTTGCTCAATGTCACCGGTACCCGGGACTGGGCCAGATGGCAGCAAGGGTATAACAACACTGAGGCGCAGATGATGTGAGTACAGTCCACTTTACTGCAGACCCCAAGCCAGACTGACAATCGCTAGCCTGTACCACACCCTCAAGACAGGAGCTGAGCTTGCCACCTGGGCAGGCGACACCACTGGTCTGTCGGACACATACACCACCCGGGCGGAGAAGCTGCGGGAGGCCATCAACGAGTACTGCTGGGACGACTCTTACGGAGCGTTCAAGGACAACGCAACCGATACGACTCTTCACCCGCAGGACGCAAACAGCATGGCCCTATTATTTGGCGTAGTTGACTCCGAGCGCGCTGCTAGTATCTCCGAGAAACTGACTGAGAACTGGACACCTATCGGTGCCGTGGCCCCTGAGCTACCGGAGAACATTTCACCGTTCATCTCCTCCTTCGAGATCCAGGGTCACTTTACCGTGGGCCAGCCCGCTCGGGCTCTGGAGCTGATTCGACGAAGCTGGGGATGGTATTACAACAATGAGAACGGCACCCAGAGCACCGTCATCGAAGGATACCTGCAGAACGGCACGTTTGGCTACCGGTCAAGCCGTGGATACTACTACGACACGGCATATGTCTCCCACGCGCACGGCTGGTCTTCTGGACCAACGTCGGCCCTGACCAACTATATTGTGGGCCTGACCGTCACCTCTCCGCTGGGGGCGACCTGGAAGCTCGCACCGCAATTCGGAGATCTCAAAACCGCCCAGGCTGGGTTCACGACTTCGCTGGGCCAATTCCAGGCAGCATGGACGAAGCAATCCAAAGAGTACAGCCTGCAGTTTACCGTTCCGAAGGGAACCACGGGAAGTCTTGCTCTGCCCTACCTGAATTCCAAGAAGCCAACGATCACAATCGACGGCAAGAAGATCACCAAGGGCGTGAGCTATGCCAATAACACGGCAACGGTAGCGGTGGCCAGTGGAGGAAGCCACAAAGTGGTTGTGAAATAGCCCGATAGCATCTAGCGAGACAATTGAGTACTTCATCTCTTCATTCTTACCCCAAAGCCCGAAGCCCTCTGTAATCTACCAAGTTCTCGACCCCATACTTTCCCCACAACCAATCAGGGCCGGTTAAAATCACGTGCCAGATTATCCGCCGGATCCAACCAGCAGCAGGCCCATCGTCATCGAACGGCATCCGCCCTCATCACCCACTTTCCTTCCAAGCCATAACATACGTGACCACCCCACAAGGCACACAATGGCCACCCCGACCTCCCTCCAGGGCATCGCCATGCCCTGGCGCACATGCAACCAATGCATCCGGCGCCACTACCTCCTGTCCCGCGGCGGCGGACGCCAGCAACCGCGCCTGCACCTCTCCACCACCTCCCCGGTCCGCACGTCGCCCAGCAGTAGCAGCAACACCGCCAACCCCCTCCGCACCTCGCGCGTCCGCAGCACCCAAAAAGACGTCGCGAACTACCGGCGCTCAATGATCCTCTCCGCCAGCGGGATCGTGGCGTGCGCGATGGCCATGTACGGGGTCATCAAACTCGATCTCTTCGGCCTGGAGGAACAAACGAAGCACCAGCAGTCAACCGCGATCCCGACCGCGCAGGAAGCCGGCGACTCCGCCGCGCCGTCACCCAAGAAGACGCAACTCGACGGCCCCAACGGCTTCCCCAGCAGCCCGTCGCTGATCACGGTGCACGGCCAAGACCCCGGCGCGGAGCAAGTGGCCACCGGCACCAGCGCGGTGCCGTACTTCCCGGCGACGATCCGACTGCCCAAGGCCCTGGACGCGGAGAACATCCCACTGGCGGCGGGCGACGAGCTCGCGCTGTCGACCACCCCCGAGAAGCCCGCGGACGAGGAGGAGTACCAGCTGCTGGGGCTGGGGATCCGCACGGTCTCGTTCCTGCGGATCCAGGTGTACGTGGTGGGGATGTACGTGGCCAAGTCGGATATCACGGCGCTGCAGCGGCGGCTGGTGCAGACGGCGGTGAATCCGCCGACGTTGGCGGGGATCGAAGCGGAGAAGACCGCCGGGGGGGTGATCACGAACCCCGTGGGCGCGACGGCGGCGACCTCGCTGGTGTCGACGGAGCGCGACCGCCTGCGCCAGCTGCTTCTTGATACCGACGGTAACGAGCAGCAGGGCGATCTGGTGTGGGACGCGATCCTGCGGGAGCCGGGCCTGCGCACGGCGTTCCGCATCGTGCCCGTCCGCAACACGGACTTCACGCACATGCGCGACGCCTTCGTGCGCGGCGTCACGGCGCGGGCCCAGAAGTACAACCCCTGGCGCGGCGAGTTCGCCGACGAGGCGTTCGGCGCCGCCGTCAAGAACTTCAAGGCCCTGTTCGGCGGCGGGGCTAACAAGAACGTCCCCAAGGGCCACACGGTGCTGCTCGTCCGGAACGCTAGGGGGCAGCTGGATGCCCTCTTCCAGACGGATGTGGCCGCCAAGCCCACGCGGTACATGGGCCGCGTGGCCGACGAGCGCGTCAGTCGTCTGGTGTGGCTGAATTACCTGGCCGGGAAGAACGTGTCGAGCGAGCCCGCCCGCGAGAGTGTCGTCGACGGCATCATGGCGGTGGTGGAGCGCCCGGTGGGCACGGTGGTGCAGAAGGTTTTGTAGTTTTATTTACCTCCTACCTTTCATACCTCAGAAATGTGACCCCCTCTCTTCTCTCTTCTGTTCCTTTACAAGACTTTACATGGACATACAAGACTCTACATGTACGAGTACTCTACGACCACCCCCGAACAACGAGTCCAAAGACACCGACACCACATAAAAGAGATAATCGATATATTCAAACCCCAAATCTATCCCCCCTTTGCCCCCACTAGGGTTACAGACAATCTAAGCCTTCAAAGCCCCCGCCGCAGTCAACAACTGCTTCAACTGCGCGCGGTCCTTGCCCTGCAGATCCGAGTTGCCGCCGATGTGCTTCTGGCTGATGAAGATGTTGGGCACGGTCTTCTGCGAGGAGATCTCATACAGAGCATCCTGGATGGCTTGACCGTCGGCTACACCAGAGGTAGAAATTAGCATACAGTTCGCGATGAGTCTAACGTAACTGGCGAGCGGCAAAGACAGGGACAAGAAAACGCACAGATCTGATCCAACTCCAGGACCTTGTATTCGGCGCCCAGCTCGTTCAGGAGGCGCTTGCTGGCGACGCAGTAGGGGCAGTAGGATTTGGAGAAGACGACTGGTTTTATTATTGAATTAGTGGCTGCTTGGTTTGGTGGGGGTGACACCCGCCCTGGGATCTGATGGGAAGGGGGGATCGGGGCACAGAGAGGCAAAACTCACCGACGCCATTCTCGTTGATCAGGTTCTGAGCCTTGGTCTTTGCGGCGGCCATGGTGGCGGGGGAGGGGCCGGCGAAGGAGCCGAACAGACGAGTGAAGATGGAAGCTATGGTGGGCGAGTGTTGCGAGAAGATTCGACCGGCGCACGAGGGACGGGTCGAAGATGTGGGCTGTTGTGAGGTTGAAGAAGAGGAAGAAGAGGAGACGGAAGGGTGAGGGGTAGCGACGGGCTATATGTACTCGTAAGTAATTGATCGGTGTTTGGAGGACGGGGATAATCGTGCGCGATGTTGGCGGGATGGCGCAAGTCTCGGAGTCAAACCGTCCAAACCCGCGGGGATTATGTAAGGAAGCTCCCGAGCCCGGCTGGCTCCAGGCTATGGCATCATCGCTCCGATTTGACTTTCTGGGGATTCTGGAAGGGACGGGTGACAAATATTCGGATAGTAAATCTGCTGGTTAGCTGGTGTAAGCTGGTGCAGGGTCATCCAACCTGCTCACCGTAGCATGGACAAGGAGTATCTTCTATCATTTGTCTCCGGGCTGCATCGTACAGCTTGTCTCGGGCATTTCTACTGCTTCTCACTGGCTGGACATTTACACTACAGCAACGACATCACCTGACCTCGGTCATATTGTCACAACTTCCATTCTCTATAGCTTGCTGATTCATATTCAAGCAAATACACTCACAACTCAAAAATCAATAGCCTGCTCGGCCGACACACAAAAGGAATGAAAAAAAAAAGGTGTGTGAAATTGTCATAATGACCGCTCCAATGCTGATGCTTCGCCAAAGAAAGGGAATTCCAAGGAATGACCAATGCTCAAAGACAGTAAGAGTGAGGGAATCAAACAGGTCGATGGCCGCAATATTAAATGATTGTCGTTTCAGACACAAAAGTTTGGACAAATCGAAAGAAAAAAAAAATGGACAAGAATTAAAATCCTAGAGATTTGAACACCACACCCAACCTGCACGCTGAATAAACAGAAAATGAGAAATTGAGAAGCATTATGCAGGGGAAAATCAGGTAAATGCTGCTGAGAAATAGCTCAGGCTGAGAGGGTTGATATGGCAGGATTACATCACATGACGATGCAGCATCCACAGCCCTTCTCCTTCGGCGGTGGCTCTTGCGCCGTCACCACCGGCGGGCTCCATTTGGGTGTCAGTGGTGCTGGCATGGGTTCCTGCACTCGGGGCATAGTGCTATACCCACTGCCTGTGACGGGCCGCGCGTCGGCTTCACCTTCCTTGGACGGGAGTTGCTCTTCGGGCGTTTGCTGTGGTGTAGGCTGCGCTTCTTCCTTGGTCTTCTCCTCCATTTGGGGCTTCTCCGGCTCCGGGGCCTCATTCCTGGGGTTTTCCACTTTGAATGGTCCATCCGGTCCGATGGCAAGCGGAGCAAATTCGCGGTCGTACATCGTGGGTGTCTTGCCCTCCTTGGCCCACTGTTCCTGCTGCATGCGCCGCGCGTGCGTGGGCAGAATCTGCTGGTCGGGAGGAAGACGCGGATCCGGTTTGTACATGGTAGCCAGCCATGGAGGATCTCCTTCCGGGCGATTGATGGGATTAGGAGGGCCCCGACCGTCTCCTCTGGCTCCAGGCCGCTGCGTGCTGGACGGGAGACGAGCTCTGGGAGTCGCCTTTCTGGTCGCGGGAGGAGCAGAGGTCTTGCGGCTGGTAGGCCCAGCCTTTGCTGGTGTTTTCTTGGCCGCCGTAGTTTGCGATGGAAACCCACGGCTACCAGGTCTGCTGCCATTCGAAGGTGTGCCGTTTGCCGCGTCCACCGTCAGTGGCTCACTAGCTCGACGCGGCATCCCGAACGACAGCGCCTCATCTTCACCATTGGTGAGGGCTCGGGTGCGCTGCTTTGGGAACTCTCGTCCAGCGTTTTCAGGCGAGATGGGGACCGGGCTGGCGGTTGGAATTGGGATCCGAGACGAGCTCTTTCGCAAGTTAGGGTTATGGTAGAAGCTCGATGCGGCTTTGTCCTTCGTCTTGTCTGCAGCAATCTCGTCCGCCCGTCGAAGGTCCCACAATTTTTGATCGCCCTGTGTAGTGTCGTGAAGGTCATCGGCATCGGAGAAGGGTTTGGAGTCGTAGGAGTCACGCGGTGACCCATCATGTAGACTGGGCCACGGTTCCGTCTGCTCGTTTGGCGAGTGCGGAGAAAAGGAGCGTCCGTTGACCTCGTGAGACTCATGGGGCCTTCCACGGCCACTCCGGGTCCCGTCTGCGGCAACCCGTCGCTGAAACAACTGCTGTAACTCTTCGCTTTCGATCTTGGCCAGTTTATCTCGGTGAATCCATTTCTCGTTATCCAGCTCTCCGAGGTACACTCCGATCCCCTCGCCTGCTTTTATTGTCCCATCCTGGCGTGGAATCTCAGTCGAAGCGTTCGCATTACTAGTGCTGCGGTCTACGGGTTCGTGTCTATAGTGATGCTGCGAGTTGAATTCTTCACTTTCACGTCGACTATGGCTGGCGTCTCGGCGACCGCGCGGATTGAACTGATCGTGAGCCTGGACGTGTCGTGACAGGGAGGAGCCGCGAGAGCCTTGGGGCCGATGCCCTCTGGAGCGTGAATCATGGGACGAGCGTGATTTAGAGCGATGATTAGTGCTCTAACACAATCCGGGTCAGTTCGTCTGATTCCTACAAACCCATTGGATCGGAGTATACGGCACAGTGGCTGCAAACTGCCGCAGCGTGGCCACTGACTTCTAGGACACACTTACATCTTGTCGGATTGGAACCGAAAATTCCCATTGACCCCCGTCTACACTGGGTGACGTCCATGCATCTGTCGAGTATGTCGCGGTAGCGGTCCCCGCCATTCCAGCAGCAGTAAATATGGATCAGACAAGTCCAGACCAGCTGGTACCCGGTGTGCTGTTATGAGGGCGATCGTGACGGGATCAACGAGCGGCTGGTCACTGGGCAAGGAACGATTTTTCTTCTCTGTCTGTTTTTGTCCCCGATCAAGCCATCCCAGAGACACACAGACCAGAATCACCAACCGCTCAGGGCAGTTCTGGTCGAAGTCCCTCCTCTGAGGTGAATGAGTTGAAAAAACAGCAGTCTGTATGATGTGAGGGGTAGGAAGGCTGGGAGAAGATGGGAGCCGGACGGCGAGGTGATGAGTCGGTGGGAAAGGGGCCCGGGAGCACGAGCGAGACGAGCCGAAAAGAGGAAATTGTAAACAAGGAGAAAATGGAGATTTGAACACCTTGAAATCGCTGCGCAACCGTCTATGTGGTTCCCCGGGAGGGGTTGAGCACTTGTTAGCCAGGGACTGCCGGAATCGGTACCGTGGATGGGTCGGTTCGGCTCAGGGAACGTCAAAAGGCGGATGGCGGATGGCAGACGGCTAGGACGAGTTGAGAGCAGCTGTCAGATGAATACTAAACTGGTCGAGTCTGGTATAAGGTGGAGGAAGTGAGACAGGATTAGATGCCCAGGTAGGGAGGGGCAGAGATAAAAGACAAAATAAAGTATATTAAGCAGTGGGTGGAGGAGGAGGAGGAGGAGGAGGAGGAGGGGGAGGCAAGGAAAAAAAATGCCAGGGAAAGGAGTGATGCAAAGGTGTGTGTGGCTGGACCGTGGCGTCAGGACAGCATCCGAGACACAATTGAGCGGAGAACCCGGTGTGAGTGTGAAGAAGAAGGGAATTCAACGGAAGAAGAGGAGAAGAGTGTCAAGTCAACTGTCCTAGAGCCCGGTGGTTGCAACAGCACGAAGAAGAAGGCAAATGTGAGAGCGAAGAGCCGAGAAAGACGGGGTAAAGTAAAGGAGGGAGAAGAGGAGAAGGAAGAGGAGAGGAGGAGAAAGTCGAGGCGAGACTAGACTAAGAGGAGGGAGAGGGAGGGAGGGAGGGATCGTTCAGGACAGGGCGCTAGACTACTTGGAAAGAAAGACTGCCCGGGACTGGGCAATTAATTAGGGAGGGGATTTGGTACTAAGGACTAAGGACTAACCTCTAAGGTATGATTTTCTACCTTAATCTCTTTCTTATCCTCCCCCCTCCTCGTGAAGGAGAAAAAGAGACACAGCCTAGAACGAATTCCTGGGTGGGCTGCGCCAATCACCCTGTGTCTCTCGGCAATGATGAATTACAGAGTAGAGATGAATGGTTATGCTCCAGGCTATGGACTGTATCCACTGCTGATGATGATGATGATAGAGTATGCTATGTCACCAAAACAACAAAGCTTCATTGCCAATAAACTATGTAACCCTCTTACCGTCTCGATCTCAACCCAACCAACAAAGAGTCCTTTCAACTCATCTAGACTGGCACTCATCGAATGATCTCTCCCTTCTCACGTCTGCCATGCCGAAAGTCGATCAGTCCGATTTGACATTTCCGACCACCCACCGGTCAGGCTGGAATGTCCCCAACGGTCTGGTCGGCCCGAGATGGGGAAGGGACAAAGCTCAGGGTCACAGACTCACACACAAGTTGACAAGCTCGCATAGCACGCACGTATCGCACAATTGTGATAGATCTCCAGGCCCCAAGAGGGAGTAGTCTAAGGTTGTGACAGCGAAGAGATCTAAGGTCCATTTCGGTTTAGTTCGATCTCAGCATAGAGTTCTGCTAGTCTCCAATCCACTGCATGCTTACTTGATCACCTCCTGGGTTGAAACTTGGAGTACTGGACTGTACACATGCACTGACCGTGATACGAGGTGCTTACTCTCAGACACAGCGAATTGCATTACAGATAAGTAGCTGAATGGAAAAAAAAAGCACACAAGACGGAATATGCGCTACGCGTAACCCAGCGAATAATCATTCAGTCTCGTTGAGTTTCCATGCCGGTCGACTACACCGGCATACATCGGTCTCATCCTTCGTCTCCGACACATTCGATCTAGGATAGTCTCAGTCTCAGTCTCATCTCATACTTCTTCCGTCGCGAGAACCAAAGGTTAAGCTAGGCGCACGTGGCACTGTTGACTTGGAGTATCCATGACAAGAACAGTAGCAGGATTAAGTGACAAAAATCTTATCCAGTGGTCCCCACCCGAGACAAACCTCCGACGCCAGAACCGTGCAGAATCCTATCCACAGGCAACTTAACACTTGTATATGCATTGAAGCGACGTACCTAAAACCCGGGTGCTCAGTAAGCAACACAGAAAGGAAACGACCCAAGCCAGGGCTGGAGTACACGAAGTGTAAATTACAACAAACAAAAAAGCAGTCAAACAAATGCTGGAGGGGAATAAAAGAATTGTTTCAAGGCTTCTGTCCATGTAGCAGGAGTAGTATTATGGTCTTTCCGTGAAATATCAAAAAAAGGGTCATGTACATCAAAGGTGGCGCTTAGTTCTTAAGTGCCTGATCAAGCTTGACCAGTAAGCCCTGTGCCTCCTTGACCAAAGCGCGACGAGCAGCGCGATCCTCGTCATTCGTGATCTCGATGCCATCTGCCTTCAGGATGACCTGGGCGAGAATAGTTTCGCTGAGCTTCTTATGCTCGAAATCGCGCGCTTTCGGATCTGTCGGGGGATCGGCGAAATACTCTTCACAGAGTGGGAGCAATTCCCGATGAAGATATGACAAGAGGCCGTTGGCTTGATCCACCGGAGTGCGGAAGGAGTTGAGGCTAGGTGCAGGTGACGGCATGGCTGAACGCCCGGGCGAGGGGGATGGTCGCGCCGCTTGCGCCGGGGGTGCCAGAGTGGCCGGGTCGACTGCTGCGCCACCGGGGCCCGTCTTCTTGCCCTTCTTCCCGCGCTTTTTATTCTTGCCCGATCGCTTGCGAGGGGGTTCGTCCTGGCGCGGAGGAAGCTCAACCTCCACCTCGGACGTCTCACTTGGAGAGCTCTCCCCGGGCTGCACTTCCGAGACCACGCACAAGACCTCTGACTGCTGTTTGAGTCCCTCCGCCCGGCAGGGCAATGAATCGTCGTCCAACAGTTTTCCTTTGTACAGTAATCGGATCCGCTTCGGGTCAGGCGTGTGCGTCACCTCTGCAGCCCGTTGTCTCAGCTGGCCCACACTGAGGGCGCCCTCGTTGATGGAGTAAGCAGGGAAGTGCAGGTCGTAGGTGTTCTTGCGGTGCTTCAAAAGGATGGTATCGGGCTCAGCATCATCGGCACCGGGGTACTGGTGTCCATGTCGGATTGGGTTGACGAGCTCGTCCGTCGTGATGTAGCTGAAATCATTGTCGGTTACATGGGGCGGGTTTTGAACGTTAGTGTAGTTGGGGGAACGGCGCCAGAAGGTGAAGGGACTGCGCCAGGAAGACATGACGATGATTGCGATCGCACACGCGAGGAGAGTGTAGGCGATCGAGGTCGTATAATCGCTAGCTGTGTGATCCGTGTTCAACTCCGGCCAAGGCGTGAGAAAACGCGAGGGAGACGAGGCTCGAGCTGACGAAAGAGTGGTGGTGAGTTGATGGTGTAAAGTCTGGAGCGAAGGAGACAGATTGGTGGCGACGTGGTCGATGTAGGAAGCACACGTCTCGCCCAGGGAGGACAGAGATATGTGCGATAGCAACTGGCTCATGGATTGTCGGCCAAGAATGAGGCAATGGGACGGGGAATGACGAGGGTGTTGAGGTCACTGGAAGTTTGCCCTCTCTTTAGCTCCGGAATAGGCAGAGAAGGCGGAGAGAGCCTCTTTTTTTTTTGCCGCAGCCGCCTGGGAGGCTTCAAGGCTGGAAGATCTTCTTGTTTATTCGTCACAAATGTTCGATCAATTTCGGAAACAATGTGATATCCCATGATTTTTGTTCTTTTTTTTCCCATACATTAATGTATAGCATAAGCATAATGAATGCTCACTCAAGACTCAGGTTGAGGGGTAGGCTCACCACAAGGCTGAATTGATTATTTCCTGTAGTACCTATCTCTAACCGAATGACCAACTGCTTTGCAATCACCCCCCCAAAATATCGCCAATGGCTGAAGTAGACCGAGCATCACATTCATCGTGCAGCATAAGAGCAGCAGATCATTCACACGTGACATGCAAATGTGCCCATACACTATACATTCAAATTTTTGACAGATCTAATCGGCTCATCATTAACATGCATTAACCAATTCGATACACTTGCCATGTGCTGAGAGATCCAAGCACAGCACAACCCAAAAGGTTTCAGCCGGTGCATCGGCCGGAGTAGTGGAGTAAGTACCTAGTAGTTATTTTGAGCAACTCAGTAGATCACTGTAGGTAATTATGCTAGGCGACGTCATCAACCTGGGACAGCGGCTTGTAGAAGGGCCAAGCGCGACTCGCTCTATTTGTTATATAGTGAGTCCTTTACAGTACTACTGTACTGTCCATATGGCGTTATGCAGGGGAAAGCAATTATCCGACCCAGCCATATTAAATATATCTTCTAGGATATCCCTCTGGTAATTCTTGACGAGACGAGCGTTCTCTCAAGGTTACAGTCGGACGAGCATAGATGGCATGGAATGGAAGAGCAGAGCAACATTACACAGCCTATCCGAGAAGTAAGTGGCCTGCCTCAGGGGCCACAATGGCATGGTCACCTCCAGTGCTCTCCGGTGCTCTCCGGTGTTCTTGCGAGGCTGACCGACCTGGCCATACATGGAATTCCAGGTACCCGCGACCCGTGCTAGGCAGAAGCTGGAATTGGTGCTAATTGCTGTGTTATCCGCCATCTGCCTTGACTGACATCATTGTATCCACTATTTTCTGGGAGCTTCACTTCCGTAACTCATTGTCCTGACAATGGAAAATTAAATTATATACATTTATAATCTTACATAATTACATTACAATTGCTCACTGGTGCAAGAATGTACTCAGTATGCCTTCAAAGTCTGACCCCGCCAGGTGCAGGCCGACCACCAAACCATCTCGCGAGACCACTGCTGCCATCGTTACCTTCATTCCCCATCCACCGTGGAAGGCGGAAGGAGTCACCCTGCAACCATTGTGGCTTGCTGGCTGTTTCGAGAGTGTTCTTCATGCGGTGTGCAAATGACTGGAAGAAGTTCTCCTCTTCCTCTTCTTCCTCGACCAAGGCAGAGGTCCCGAGAGTGCTGCGAGGTGCCCGAGGTGCCCGAGAACCCTCAACTAGGGGTGTTCGCGAAGAAATAAATGCAGGAACCTCCTCGTCCACCCGGCTCGAGGGGCGGGGCGACCGACTACCACGGGCTGAAAGCCCCAATGAGCCGAGGCCGTTGAGTTCTCGTTCAATGAGGTCACGCCCTTCACGCCAACCTCCCAGTCCGTAGCCACCGGGGTTGTTTTCCAGGTCATCGTCATCTTCCTCCAAAAGTCCCCAGCTGCAAATGTTTTGCACTCGACCATAAAGATTAAAGAGAGTGGCACAGATGGGCAGCAAAATGAAGACCGGGAAAAAGTAGTCAAACCCTTTACCAAGCGGTGTGAGGTCGATTAACCGCCCCAGGAATTTGTAGAAGACGGTGCTCTGTCGCGCACTAACCGGCAAGAAGGTCAGAAAGTTGTAGGCGATGGGTACAGTCAGCCGGGCTACAAGCCCAGCGTACCAACATGCGCTCTCTCCATACGTGTTCCGACGGACCAAGGCACGGTTGCCCCATACTTTGGCGTCGTTCACGCCCACCAAGGCTGCGGAGCACATGTACATCAACCAAGCAGAGGCAATAACTTGACGACCGAAGTCCACTGGCGCAGGATCTTGATGATAGGATACAATGGAAAGGGTCACTACCGACAGCCGAGGCGCTATAGATTTGATCACTTCGGACCAGACGATGCAAGCGGATGCGGCAGTGAAGAGAGCACCAAGTCCAAGCCGGAGATTCGGGATCATGCGCACATAGAGCTGGTAACGCATGTATGGGCTCAAAACCTTGGTATTCGGCAACCATGAGGAGCGATAAGGTGACGGAGTAAATTCCAACTTCCTCGATGCAGACGAGTTAATAATGGCTTGCATATCAGCAGCCGACAGCACCAAGCGGTCCCACTCGTCGATGAAACGAGCCTTTTGATGCCGAGCCCGCTGAAGACGTCTTGTCAAATCTGCCAAATAGCGTTCGGTAATGACGGCAGGGATTGTTTCGGACCCATCTGAATGGTCCAGCAGCGTTGACCGTGGTTCAGAAGGACTGCAAGTCTCTGCCAGCTCGTCAATCCAATCCTGAAAGTCGAGGGCGGTCCCTGTCTTCCGACGCTGCAGTTGAGAGACCTGACTTTCGAGGCTTTCCAAGTCATTGATCGCATCCATCAAGCGGTCGTGCAACCGAGGGGCATGGGCGTGAATTCGCCGGAGCCTGCCGCTGACATCGGCGTTACGGAATAGTGTGCGAGGGATCGAGACGAGACCATGACCCATGAGGTAGATCGCGAGTACGAGACCCCAGACGTAAGCAAGAGCCATCACGAGCGCCTTGATTGAAGTAAATTCGAACCCATTCTGGATGGATATGTAGACCAATCCGACAATCGCACAGCACAGCACGATCAGTTGATAGCGCGCATTCGAACGGATAGAGTACTGAATACGACCCTTCGGTTCACGATATCCAGAATCTATATATTCTCCGAGAAGCGGGAGGATAGTCCTGTAAGGAGATGAAAGTCCGATCAGCATCGCCGATAAATAAGTTCAGAACAGCCAGAATTGGCTGACGAATGACACGACTTATACGTACCATGTCAGTACAAATATCAGCCAGTAGGTGATGCGCCACGAGACTAGAAGTAAGCGGTCAGGTAGCCAGATGGCTGCGGGACCTGATCCATCACGCGAACTTGATGCTAGGTCGATAGGCACCAACAGAACTACACTGGCAGGAAGCGCGAGCGCAAGAAAGACGGGAATGGAAAGATAAGCGGGGGTTGCGCGCAAAGTTAGAAAGCGCCGGAGAAGAAGTAGAACAAGGATAGAGATTGTGAGAAGGGCCAGCGAGAAGAAAATACTAGACCCTACGGGCACAGGCGTGGCGAGAACCATGGCGATGATTGGGGGGGAGGGAGGAGGGGGGAGGAAGGGGATGTCAGTACATCCGGCGGAGGATAAAAAGGGAAGTAGAGCAGGGTCTCGGGGAAGAGGGCGATCAATCAATAAAGCATTGCAGGTAGAACTAAAAAGAGACTAATGATCGAGAATCGAGGGGTAGAAACACAACCGTGTGAAGTATAGGAGTGTGAGTAATCACGAGGGGGGAGGGAGGAAGGAGTACGGGAAGGAGGGTGAGAGTTGAGAAGAAATAAGAGAAGCAAAAGTGACCAGGAATAGAAGAAGTAGAAACTGCCCGTAGTTACTATGAGTAAGTACGTACGTACAAGGTAGGGTAAGTACTGTACGGAGTACTATGGATCGCAAATGCGGCCGAGACTTGAAACGAGATCTGCTGAATGGGTCAGCTCATTTCCCACAAGTTCATTGATGGTCGATGATAATTCAAGGGCGGCTTCCAGCCCGGGGGCCGGTGACGACAGCATCCAGATCACGTGATGGTACCTGACGTGTCTGTTTCCGTAAAAAGTAACAGCGGAGTCGCCATTGCCGGCACTAGATGCCTTTTCGCATCTCGAAGTATTCTACTGGGCACACTTCTCCACGGCCCTTCAGGTTTGCAGTGGACTCTGGACCACACCGCATTTGGACTTCAACCCTACTGAGTATAAATAAACATCGCCGATGCTAGCCTGGCTTTGGAATGTGAGATTAGTCTGGACTCTGGAGTTTCTGGACTGTCGGGACAGCATATAGCAATATGATGCGACTTCAGTCATGCACACTCTCGACTTCAGTCATGTCTGCTCGGATGGCGCACTGCCCGCTACAGTATTCGCAAGACTTCCAAGATCTGCGTCTTAATCCGAAGGTGCACTGGAGGGTTTCGCCAAGGAGATCACGGGAGCTTCGCATAACAACCAACAATGAGACACTATTGTAATGCCCTGAATAAGGTCTGACTTGGTTGCATACCCTCGCTGTCTGATTCTCTTTGTCGTTGAAAACGGCATCATATGCATGATCTTGGCGGCTGAGTGTTGCGCCCAAAGCCGGATGTGCCGATAGGAATCTCCGTAGATTGGCATGAGGTACCCCCAAGCTTTTCTCGGGAGCGACCCATCGATAGAAATGTTCCAGGGCCATGTTGATCGGACTTCACTCACGTTGACTACTCCGTAGAACGCACTGAGAAGGAATCCTGCAAAGGGGAATCATGCGCCGTGGAGCAGGATGGTCAACAGAAAGTGTTTTCGCCATGTTTAAACTGTGGTTGTGTACCAGTATCTTCCAAACATCTTTCATTCTGGGCGATAGTTGTGTGCTTTCTAGCACCTTCACTGCAGGCCGCTTTGGTACGTTTTCAAATCAGGAATAGTCTGTTTGGTCAAGGTCAGTGACACTAGTGAACTAGTGTACCGATCCCATTCTGAGGGAACCATGAAGTATTGACGGAGTTGTTGTCGAGACCTCTAGTAATGAGCCATCTATAATTCCTGCTGCTAGGCCAGCAACTCAATTAGGTACAGTACGAACCACAATTCCGTGGTCAACGTTCAGT